GCTGATTAAGAAGGTCATAATTAAGTTTCAGTATATTGGACTCTTCAACAAACGTAAACTTGAACGTCTTACAATTTGCGAGATTGTCTGCGAGGAACTTGTCGAGTCAACTGTTATTCAACTTGGGGCAACCATCTATATAAGAGCAAATTTTACTCGGCCTCCGAGAAATGTTTGCTCCTGAAACGATCTGAGACCGCGGTCTTTCGCGACGCCTAAATCGCTCCACGTCCGTGGAAAAATGTGGAGGGTGTCTTCCGCCGGATCGGACACATTTTCGTTGATTTTTTGTGTGACTGCGTTTAAGATCTCGATGTTTGAAGCAATGCATCGATCCTTCGTTGATCCCAGACAGGCCCCCGAAATTATAACGCAACACTGTGGCGGGCAGCGATCACAACGCTCAGCCTTGGTGGAAGCATGGAGCTGTATTAACACACGATGGAAGCAACAGAGCACTATACACGTCACTCACATGCTTGTGCTTCAAATCATGCAAATAGTGAGCACCGTAGACCCAACCTCGTTTCCAGGGTGTGGAGCAGGCTGCAGTACGCGTTGCCATCGACAGTTTTGCATAGCCCGGATATACTACGCAGTGTAGACTTTCGATTGGTCAGACCGCGCAAGGCATACTTAATGTGTAGTCCTTCTGAGTATTCGTTGCACACGGCGCAGGGGCGGCAAGCGAAGCATATGAAAGAATACGGGCACTTGGTGGCCACGCACCATGGAGAAAAAATATTTTACCAAGGTCACCCCATAACACAATTTGGTGAACGCTTTTGCAGAACGGCTGAGTAGAACACGTAAACGGAACCCCTACGTTGACCTCGCTGACCTCGCACAGTCTAGACACGCAGAGAAGCCAGCACAGGGGGCGGCCAGGCAGTCAACGTGAAAGCGCACACGACGGCAAATTCCTGCGAAAAACGCAGTCACGAAAAATCGACGAAAAGGATCGCCGGTCCGTACGGGAAAATCAGGACGACCCGAAGTGTCCGACCCGGCGGAAGACACCCTCCGTATTTTTCCACGGACGTGGAGCGATTTTCGCGCAGCGGGAGCCCGCGGTCTCGGATCCTTTCAGGAGCAAACATCGTCTCGGGGGCGAGTAAACTTCTCTCTTATATATATAGATGGCAATGTGCACCAAACTTTGGGTACATTTTTTAAACCAGGAAGACCCTGATTCATCAGGTACTGGTACATGTATATGTATGCACTTTTATCACCAGATTTTAGACTGATAGACATCCTAATCCAGACATTTTTGGTTGACCTCTGTTTGCGTCAACACCCTCTCAGCCAGCCAGCTCAACCACAATCAAGGGTGAACTTCAGCATTTAAATCCAAACCAAATGTACAAGACCTGACTGTTGAGGTCAGCCTATGGTAGACAACTGCACATTGTTAAGACCGCAGCCTCTGGATTGCTTGGCTACTAGTACTACACCAGTCACAGTCTGGTTCCGTCTGTTTTGATTTTTATGAAATAAGGTCAGGTGTATGGGTAAATGAACAACTACCGAGTGTGTTCAGTGTGCCACTAGATTTGTACATATTTGCACGTTTTGAGCCCTAGGCATGGATAAACTTGTTTTTAAGAAGAAATTTGTTGTTTACATTTACAGAAGTTATCAGGTCTTTCTGATAATTTTTTATCTTTATTGACTCTCAAATGTTTGGCTCTATTTCAGAGTAGGCGCAGGATCACTTGTAAGTTAAAGGGAATATACATCATTTGCTTTTGCTGTAATTTTCAGAAATGGATGGAATTGGGGGGTTGGAAATATAAAGCAAATATAGTTACACTGACTTTTTGGAGGTTTTGGGTTCGAAAATGCTATAAAAACCAAGAAAAACGATCATTTTCCTGTAGTCTGGCTCCCTGACTCCATATAAGAAGAAACAGAGCAGTTTACATACATTGGGGAATTGTAAGGTCAGGGAACCAGTCTAGCTGGCTCGTACCCGTTCATAGGTTTGTAATCGATTGCAAACAAGTGCAATGGTCAATTGGGGCCAGTATTTGAAAAAAAGCCAGTTGTTTCCAACGCTGATCGGCCGATCAGCGTTGGAAATTGATACAAAAATACCACTTTTCTTGAAAATGACAGTATACCAGGTGCCATAATTTTACAGGATGCTTTAGACTGTCATTTACCAACATCCTATTAAGGTATTTCGCAAAAACTTGGTAGTTTTATTTTTCGATGTTTGCAAATGTTGTATATTCCCTTTAATATTTTGTGTTGGAAATTAGAAACAAGTTATATAGTGGTCTTTCAATCAATCGTTTGTTTCAGACACATTTTCTTACTAGAACTTTTCTTGAAAATGTTCTGTTACTGAATGGCTACTGAAATTTCAGATTTTAAATTAGAATATTGACCTATCTTGGCCCCGTCATTAAAAATGAAATGGATAAACTTGGGAGAAAAATGAAGTCAGTGTATTTGCTTGAGTTGACTTAATACTGTCTGTTTGTTCTTCTTAATATGTTATTGAACAATTTTAATTGTGTCATTGATCTTTTTTTCTTTGAAACCAATCATACTCCGTAGAAATTTGTTAACTGGATCAACATTGTTTTAACTTCACAGAACGCAGCAAAGCTAAGTCCACAGGTGGCTTACATACTGTGCCACATGCGGCAGTGTTTTTATACAGCTGTCACAAGGTCTGCACTGTGTTTATAAAAAGTCATGAACCAGCATTGCTCACTACATGTATGTCTGTCATTGCTGACATACTGTACAGGGAAGTTGTTCAGTCATAAGTGATCCCACCGGATTGGCATGGCGGTTTTCACTTAAAGTAATGAGTGGTCAGAAATTGTTCATGTGTTTGACTTGGTCTTGATTTACAGAGTATGTTTAAGTCCAGTATAAGTGCATGTATTATTTAGTACTCAATTGCCTACCCTTGCAATAATCCAAAACAATATAACACACTTGTTAGAAAATCAAGAACACTTAAAAGTGGTATTTTGAGGCTATAATTTCATCGTAGGTGTAATTTATTCAACATATATTCATGAGAATGTGAAGCAACAGCTCGCTTTAATTTGAAATAATAACAGGAAATTTAAAGGGAAAAAACAACATTTTGCAAAAATTACAGCAAAAGCCAACGATGTACATTCCCTTTAATAGTATTTATCCCTAAAATAGCTTTTTTTTCCACCTCAAAGTCGGGGGCAAGGGGGATTAAACAAATGTAGCAGGGTAAAGGGGTAGCTTCCATGTATCCATTGTGTTATGGTTAGTGGTTATTTTGTGTATTGACATTGGATATATTTATTCAATCACAAATAATGAGTGTACTCAGGACTCTTACAGGTTAAATATGAGTCAATGTCTGAGTCAATTTTTGACATGAGCCCTAGCCACTAGTCTTTGTTCAACCCATTACAGTTACATGTGAGGAACATGATACATTCCTTCTTCTATGCTTCTGTGTTGGACATTTTGATCAGTAACAAGTGCCATGTGGGATATATTTTGAAAAGGAAGTGGAACTACCACTGTTTATGCAATGGCCATAAATCTAAGAGGGTTCCTAAAGTGGCTGCAATCCTATACATGTACTTGAATAACCTGTTCTGTACAACACATAAGGGACCTATCAATCACACCACTGGCATTTATGATATTCATAACATACCAGTAAGGGCTGCTGTGGTATATATGCACACTGTACATGTTGGTCCATGTGTTTGGACACTGCAGGCATTTCTGGAAATGATATATGGGGTCTTGTATTTTAATAAAAAAAAAATTGGGGGGGGGGGGGGGGTTGGCTTATACACAGTCCACTAAAGTTACCCGGGGTTAGGGTTATTAATGGTACATGTGAAACTGATTGAAATGCTTAAAAGGGAAGTGGTATCAAGTCTAGTTGGAATCAAAACAAACAATTCAATGCTTCCAGTAACATTTTGAAATATTGTTTTGTATGTGAATATCATAATGTACAGAAAAGGTGTTTATTTTGTAGATCACCTACAGTATTCACAATGAGAAATAGTAATTCTCACAAACAATACACCATGCACGTTCAGTTACATACATACACATATCCCCTCATTTAGTTTGCAACTGATGTCTCACCCACTAAGAGATACCGGTACTAAGTAGATTTATGTATTCATAAGATGGGATTGTATCGGGTTTATGTAAATTCAATATTGGGTTTAGGCCGTCACTATTTATGTATTTTATAAACACTGTACATGTACCAGTATGTCAGAGTTTGTCTTACAGTCGCTATGTGGACATGTGAACTAAAGATGTCCACATAATGCAGGTTGTGTTGACGTTATGTGGACTAAGGCGTGTCCACATAACGTTTCGCCCTCTTTGGAAAACAGGTTTACAGGCATTTTCGGGTTAGAGTAAATCCATCGCAGAATGAAGAGAAACATTCAAGGAAATCAAAAAACAAATTTGGGGCTGAAAGAGTTTTCACAGTTTAAGTAAAGTTATTTTTTGTACCGAGTTTTCTTAACTACACGAACACAAAGGAATGTCCACATTGAGTATGAAAAACAAACATCAGTGTGTTGTCCTAAGTGATTGTGAGGAAAAAAGTCACAAGCTATTCAGGTGGGACTCGAACCCACGACCTCCTGCTTTCTGTGCAGACGTCCCACTACTCGACCACTAAGCTTGCCGGCTGGCTGGTTCGAATCAGAAATAGCAGCGGATGCCGCAACCAAACCATTCATCAGATGGATTTTGCTTTGGGATGATGTAAATTAAATATTGGGTTTTGTCCTTCACTGACGTAATGGTATTTTATAAAGAGTTCTCATACAGATCTACATGTATGTACTTGCTTTCAAACAAATTGCTGGGAACCAGTAACAGTAACACATGGCAAAGCACTGTACAGTTGTATTGATTTCATGAAGAAGTAATTAGAATGTGATACAGCATACTCCAAGTGCTACATGTATAATGGGTCAAGACACTCTTTTTCTGCATCTTTCTAGGACATCTTAGACCAGCTGCTGGTGATGAAGCTGCCCAACGTTCTGCTGATCAGCAAGGACCCCATGGGTGAGGTGGCCATCGCTGAGATGCAGAAGCTCCTGTTGCTCATGCTGGGCTGTGCTGTCCAGTCCAGTCAGAAGGAGATCTTCATTGAGCGCATCAAGCAGCTGGAGATTGACGTCCAGCATGCCATAGTGGTGCACATCCAAGAGGTACACATCTACACTAGTACAAAAAGACATAAGAGAAACAGGAACCAGCGCTCGATTTCATGAATCTCATCGTAACTTACGATGCATCGCAGCGCTGTGACTCGTTGTATCCCTACGATGCATTGCAGCTGCGACGCGTCCTGCGATTCATTTCACAAAACTTGTAAGTGCAAAGCGTAGTACATGTAGGTGTATAGACCATTATCATGTTGCAGCCATATGAATTTTTTCCCATTCAACTCAATGTAACCAAAGCGAGGCTGGAGGGATAAATAGTCTGGTTCCTTTTTGCACAAAAACATCATTCAGTACTGTTATTGGGTACAGGGAACATGACTAAAATGGTGGAAGCATGATAAAGGTCTATTGGGAAGAATTCCATACATGGAGATCACTCATTTTTCCCTGCAGTGACCTATCAGCCATCAGAAAGTGATAACATGTCCTAAAAAGTCAAATTTGGCAGGGAAAATATTGAAACATTTACTTAGAAAACACTTGGAATTTTTCAGACCAGTCTTAAAGGGTTTGTGCACAGGGTGTCCAGTGATGTCCAGGTATGGAACTCTTTCATACCTGAAACTTGTATCGTTAGTCACCAGAAATATATTTTCGCACAGTTTGGGACTCCAGTGTATAGCCTTTGACTCAAGTCGAGTCTTCTGATGAGGGACTCAAGTGGAGTCGAGTCATTTGCTCGCAGTGAGTCGAGTCAAGTTGAGTCGAGTCGCTAAAATTTGTGACCCGAGTTGGACTTGAGTCCAGTCTTCATTCCAACTCTGGTTCCAAGCCTCACTTTCAAATCACAAATTTTAAATTATTCATCGGATCAGACTCTTATTAATTTGTAATTAACTTAATTTCATTACTTTCATTTCTATTCAAAAGTTCCAAAAATGAATATCTTACCTTGCTTTCATTTTAATATGGCCGAGTCGTGAATTAAGCCCCTTCATGCATGGTGTCTGTCGGGTTGTTTTTACATCAATGTTAGTTACAGTTCTTATTAATCAAACAGCTGATTTAGTTTTGGGTCAGTTGGTAAAAATAATTGAACACACAAATCATTCAACCACCTTTCATTTTATTTTATGTGGCACCAATGCAAGTGAAGTAACTACATTTTGTAACTGCACAGTGTGTGAACATTGTCCAGTAAATGTGATCTGCCATTATTTCTCACATGTTCACAGATTACAGACAACGCAGAGAACGTGGTGAATCTGCAGCTGGGAGAACTGATTGATCAGGACCAACAGGACAACCTGTACAAGAACATGTTCAGCCATGTCAAGAGATTAGTCATGGAGAGAGATGATTATGCTGAGGTATATTCCCCTGCCCTGGGGTTATATTATTCCCCTGCCCTGGGGTTATATTATATCCCTGCCCTGGGGTTATATATTTCCCTCCCCTGGAGTTATATTATTCCCCTGCCCTGGGGTTATATTATATCCCTGCCCTGGGGTTATATATTTCCCTCCCCTGGAGTTATATTATTCCCCTGCCCTGGGGTTATATATTCCCCTGCCCTGGGGTTATATTATATCCCTGCCCTGGGGTTATACATTCCCTCCCCTGGAGTTATATTATTCCCCTGCCCTGGGGTCATATATTCCCCTGCCCTGGGGTTATATATTCCCCTGCCCTGGGGTTATACATGTATATTCCCCTGCCCTGGGGTTATATATTCCCCTGCCCTGGGCTATACACGGTGGTGCAAAAAGAAGGAAACCCACTTTTGACAGCAATTTTCAACTAGAATATTGTTTTCTCGGAATATACAGCATTTACTGAGCTGAAACTTAATCAGGCTAGTTGTTCAGCACCCTTCTTTAGAGTTCGAGCACTTTCGCTGTTTCAAACGAACATAATGCACAAATCACAAAAAGGAATTGCCAAGGAAAGTCCTTTTTTAAAAATTTTATCATAATTTTAAAGGAAACAATCTAAATATTTTAACAATATTTAAGAGACCCGTTTACAACCTGCTTTCCAGAAGAGTCTTTTTAACAGAAAGCAGAGTTCAATTTCCTGTATCCTTCCCTGCTTCCCTGAATTTCAATCTCCCTGGGTTACTTTTCCCCTCCAACTATTCCCTTCCCACTGTTTCCCTCCCTATATGACCTCAGCTGTGGTCGTATATTAAACTTTCCTTTCCTGCTTCCTCTCTCTAAGTCATATACTCTCACTCTCCGACATTATTGCTGGCCTGAGTTATGCATATATTCCCCTTCCTGAGGTTTTTTTAACACCTTCCCCAAGAGACCAGCTCTAAACCCAACATTCGTCTCCTAAGTCATATATTCTCACTCTCCCACATTATTACTGGCCTGAGTTATGCATATATTCCCCTCCCAGAGTTTTCTTAACACCTTCTCCCCAAGACCAATTCTAAACCTAACATGAACTGGGGTAATGAGGTATGCCTTTGATAGTTGGAGCTCGTTAGCCTCAGTTGACAGACTTTAGTCTGCTAGTGTGCCAGCTAAACTGGGTCAAGCTTGTCATTTTTAGGTCATGATTCGAATTTTCAAATCGCCTGCTTCTTTCTGAACCTTGCTCAACCCTACCCTTCCTTCCTTCCCTTCTGGTCCGGAAAGACCAAGCCCGCCCGGAAATCATGTCAATCATCAGTGAACTGCATTTGATAAGACCTGTCAAAGAGAAATGTGATCCTACATACATGTATTTAACCCATTAGCTACCGGTACATATGTATGCATGAATAAAATCACTTACTGCTGGGACAGTTTCGGGTGGTACCTGGAGTAATACTAGGCAGGGTGGTTTTGAGCGTTGGAGTGACTGATAAAGGGTTAAGTAATTTGCTTACTTGCAGATAATGTGTAAGACGGGCTTTTTCAGAAGAGAACATTTGTAATATTTCCATCTTTTCTGAAATACACATTTTGGAATACGCTGATGTATGGCCATAGCTCAAATAAGTTTTGAAAAAAAAAAAAACTTAAATGTCCTACAAAAAAAAATCTCCTGTGGTTAACCAGTTCACGCCGGCATTATTTTGACAAGAACGGAATGAGCGGCGAGATTACTTTTCACTCGACCTCAAGCCAGGCGGGTTAAAGCCATCACCCTCGGGCAGCACACTCATAGTTCCGGCCTCGCTCGCTGCGAGCTGGTCGCTGACAGTTATTTCCGGCCTCGCTCCCTGCGTGTTTATCCGTCATCGGTTCAGAATACTGGAAAACCTTTGCGTGTTTACATGGCCTCCGGCGCGAACCGGTTAAATATGGTGCCCTTGAAGATTATTTTTCTTGAATGTACATCTAAGTAGGTTCTTTTTATCAGTACTCAGTCATTACTGTACATGTACATCAAGAAGTTTGAAAAGTTTTAAACACGCAGGAAATTTGAAAAAAAAATGAATAAAACTATAGCAAACTGTTGCAAAACTGACTACAATGTACCTTATAAAACTATTGCAAAACTGACTACAATGTATCTTTGAGAAAGATGCTGCCAGGATCAAAGCGTCGGGCCCTCTAACACAGGAAATTTAAATCAATATTAGGTTTTGCCCTTCACGATGTATAAACACTGTATACTCAGTGTGTAACCTCCCGAGGGAAAGTTGGGGAAAAAAATCACTCCGGTGGGACTCGAACCCATGACCTGTATTCTAGAGCAGACCTATTACCACTCGACCACCGAGCTTGCGGGATCGGTGGGCTGGTTCAAATCTGATGTACATGTATAGTACATGTAGCAGGGGGTACCGCAAGTAAACTATTCATTTTTTTCCCAATTTTCACTCGGGAGGTAACACACTGAGTATATATGTTCAGTGTTTATACGTCTGTGAAGAGCAAAACCTAATATTGATTTACATCCCCCCCAACGCGAATTCCATCCTATGAACAGGAATTTTCAGTAATTTCATATGCGTAGTAATACTCTATAAATGCCAATATTACTTTTGGCGAAACAAGTGACTTCCCACACTTCCTTAGACATTGTGTCCCCCCCCCCCCCCCCCCCCCCCCCCATGAAAATATAAGGAGACATAAACACATGGAAGAGATTGGTTCTCCCCAACAGTAGATATTTAAACCTACATGTATATTCTTCGATTGCCAAACCAGATACACATTTTGTAAACATGCTAGACCTGAAACATATCAAGTAGCCTCAAAAGGTCACGGCGAGGTCAGGCCTGGTTACTATCAAGTGAAAGCTGTACAAATCTGACTTCCTTAGAGAGCTAAGGACAACAGGACATTCCAGCAACATGATTCAGATTTTAAAAAGGGCGCAGCCACATGTTTTTCCAATACAGACAATTGTGGACAATGTTTCTGAGAGTTTACAGATCATGGCATAAGGTTACTTATGGAACACATTTGGTCTGGAATACATTTGGACCTAAAAGTAAAATGACACCGTCTGCCAACCATCACGTCAGAGTCTGCTGACTGTTTTTAATCCCCCCCCCCCCCAACAAAAAAGTGAGAAAATCTTGGAAAGTAAAAACTGTACTTTATATTTAGATAACAGATTTTCCCAAAACATGAAGGGGAAAAACAGGCAGCCTTTTTTTTCTTCTGGTTTTTGGGGGTTTTTTATAGATGGGAAAATTTAGACCGAATTTTTTGAAGAGTGCATATTCCAACTTAAACATCTGAACAGGATGGTTGTGATTTTAAATTGGCATGAAAAAGTTGAAACTTGAGTTCTCCCCAGCCTTTTCATTTTGTTTGTTTTGCCCTGGAATGGCACAAAGGCTCAGGGGGTTTTGGCGATTTGGCTTGTTCTTCTTATCGTGTCCACACACAGGCAAAACACGGTTCAGCCATGGTTCAAGTCAAAGCTGAACGCATTGCTTAGCACTACCATTATGTATTGCAAAGTCTTCACATTTGCACGGTTGCTCCAGTTGAAGGCAGCTTGGCAAATGTTTCATAGTCTGTGGTTCAGTACCACATTCACATGTTACATCTTGGCTGTCCTGATATCCCCACTAGCGAAGGGTCACCTTAGAGCGTCCTGGACCAGTCCTCAGTCTGGTCATACATTTCCATTCAATCCAACTTGAGTCAGCTCCAGGAGGAAGTTCCTTTGTTGCATTTAAAGCCATTGTGGTGGTTGATGGGAGCTTGGCAAGCCTTTCCTTTCATAGAGTGACTCTGGCACAACTTGTATTTGCTTCTTCAAGAGGTGCTACACTCTGAACAAAGCTAGCCCTGGAGTTAAGCCGACTGTCTGCAGGCACATGACCAAATAGAGGATGCTGCTCGTCTGTAGTCTGGCGCTGGCGTTCCTTCTTCCTTACTGCACTGTGTCTTATATCTGGTGGGGCTATACCAGCTAGGATGTATAGGCTCTCAGTTGGTGTTGGTCAGAGACATCCTGTGATAAGATGACAGCCATGTCAGTCTGGCATTGAACTAAGTGGAGTGGAGGCAAGCTATCCAACCAAGAGGACATGATCAGCTCAGAGTCCAACCCTCGAGTTCGGGGATATGCGAACTATAAACAGATAGATGTATCATTCGGTGACCCTTATTGTTCCCTTCTTTTGTTCCTATTGTTTGGAGTTAACTTTTCTCGGCGCGTCCCATAAGGTTTGTTCATGGAAAACTTCCAAGGACTTAGCTCAGGTCCTCTGGGTTATTATTGTAGGTAACCCATTGCACAAAGTCCTCAGACGTAAAGGATATCAAGATCCAATTTGTGGAAATTTAGTATAAATTGGCCTGTCCAGATCAAATTCTGTATTTAGGCATGAATTTTTGCCTGAAATTTATAAAACCTGATTACCTCATTTTATGATAGTTCATGCCTGATATTTTGATATTGGAAAACACTAGAAAAGTCTTGTTAGTTTCTAATTTGTCTTAGTTACTGGTCAATTCCATGCCTGTGTGTTCTGAATTGCTTCCACAGACCATTATGGAACTGAGCCAAGAAAAGGAGATCTACCAGGCGACCATCGAGGGGCGTCGCATCGTCCCCTCACCCACCAGCCCCGGCTCGGACCGGCGCCACATCACGGTGGAGCTGGCGGAGAGCAAGGCCAAGCTGAGACGAACCCGGCAAGAGCTGGAGGAGAAGAACGAGATGGTGCTGGAATACAAAGAGGAAGTTGACAAGTATAACCTGACGGTGCAGAAGCTCAGACAAGAGGTCAGTGCAGAAACGCTCGCGTGTACCTAGTGTAGACCAATCTGGGCACGCTGTCAATTCTATCGCGAAGGCCCCCTTCAATGGCGAAAGCATTGTGCTAGCTATTGTTCAGGTAGTTGCTCCATTGAAAGGGGTCTCGTGAGTGTACAGTGATGCCCAGATTCATCTAGATACAAATACAACATGGTTCGAGGTTTGGGCAGTTTTGACTATGTTCTGACAAGAACCGGAGGGAGGTAGTCAAAATTCTTCCTCCCCCAAAAAACACTCAAGGGACAAGTAAATTTGCAGTTCTTCCTCGAAATTAACTGTGCTGTATTTGTTTTATTACGCCACATACATATTTACTTTAAAAATTATGAGGAAATCTCTGACACGGAATGCGTATAATTGTTTGCCTAACGTAAAGCCGATGGTACCACCAGCGTCTTCACTCACGATCGCAACCGTTTCATTGTTGAGATCATAGGAGCTACTACCAAGATGCCTCGTGCATGCATGCGTGCATGGTAGCCACTTTTACTTCCCAGATGCATTGGAACATTGGCCAATAGCAGAAGTTTTTTTGTCTCATAATATGTACGAGGTCTAATTATTCATAATCCAAGCCATTCCTGAAATCTCGGCTGCTTAAGCGCAGGACTAGCTCAAGTTCAAACAACCTGCTCAATCTGTGTTCATTTTCTGCTGCAGGAACATCAGATTGAATAAGATTAAAGAGAAGATCGAGCATTTCTGTTGAGATTAAATGCTCACATATGGCTACATGTATGAGGCTACAGATGAAGGGGAGTGTGGCCTAGTGGTTAGGACCTGTGACTCATGATCAGAGGGTCAGGGGTTCAAATCCAGCTGCTGGCCGTATGGTGTGTTCTTGGGCAATCCACTTCACCCCCAGTTGCCTCTCTCCACCCAAGAGTATAAATTGGTACCGGCATTAGCTGGAGATTACCCTTCGAATGGACTAGCATCCGATCCAGGGGGAGTAGAAATATTCTCAATCATTTCATGCTACTGAAACTGGAGATAAACGGCGGCCTGATGGGCCACTTGGCTCGTGACAGACTCTACTTTTTTCTAAAGATGAAGCCAAACGTGAGACTGGGACCTTGAGGTTTTTTAAATGAGCCCCAGATGTGCCATTCCCCTCACAAACCAATGCCAGGGATGATTTTTTTTGGTGGTATCGCTCAAAGTTTAAAGCAAAATATTGTGCTTACTACAGTTGAGAAAAGTCTGTAAACCTGAAACGGATATGGTGTTCATGCTGCCTGTGCTTGGAGAGCCATCAGAAAACCTTTTGCAGTGTTCTCCAAGTGAATTTCAAACTCAGTAAGGCATTTTGATATGTACATTCTACTTAGATAATGTATGAAATATGTAAATACAGCTTTTGCTCACAAGATGGGCACACGGTAATTTTCTTCTTTGATTGGGTGGTGAATTCCATCAGTTGGCCCAAGAAATTTGGCATGGCTGGCACAGTCACAAGTCAAAATAAATAAGGGGGCGAAATCTACTCCAAAGTACCCTAGGTTTGATGAAATGGCGAGGAAAAAGGACAGGAGGATATAGTCAAGGATCTTCCTGACAGGAAATGACACTTGTCCTGCCTTCTTAGACAATCTGAGCAAATTTGCAAATGCACTGATCATGTATTAGAGGGTCCAGAATGATCTCCGTAGGGAATAGTTCTTATTGACAGGACAAGGAATGATTCACTAGAGAGTAGCCAGTGTCCTGGGCAGGCAGAGTGCAGACTGTGTGCTGGTGTAGTAGGGGAATGTAGTCAACAGGATATTGGCATTTCCCCAGTCCTAGATCCCCTTGCACTGTCATGCAACCGGGGCCTTATTTATGCCAAGGGACTGGGGAAGGAGATTTCTGGGGTAGGGGATTTCAGTAAGCAGATCTCATGGTTAAAATACAAGCAGTCCAAAGTGACAAAAGTGCACATGACAGTCCTGTGGCAGTGATAGTTTACATGTAAATTTGCACTGTTGACGGGCGGGTGCTCATACCGGTATGTGCGCATTCTATGTACATGGGCGAAGTCCAGGCCTCTTCACACTGGATGCATTTGAGTAGTTCACCCGGATCGACTCGGATGAAGGCAGACGGGTTAGCCGCAACTGGCAGGGCTAATCAAACACTCAACCGTGGGCCATGATGATCCTCACGTGATATCCGTAGCCAGGGCCGTAGCCACTGACAAAACGCCTGTTTCGGACTGGGCCTTAGTCCAAGTTTTACATTTATTTAGTCAGTTGCAAAACTCAAAAAAAGTTGGGCTGGAATTATAGCCGCAATGAACTCAATAAACAATTACCTTTAGACTTCAGATAAAGTTGATTTTTTGGTCCATTTGAGATTTCCACTGTCCGACCGCCATGTTTGTCTGTTTCTAGGAATGAACAACCTATTGGTGATGTATTTCCAAAACGCTGACTCTGCTCCACGAGCAGGGTCTGTGTTTTCTGACCTGGGTAAGCCCAGAGAATGATGTCAGAGCTAATCGAATGGCACATGTCTAACTCTAGTTGATCCGGGTGAGCTACATGTACTCGAACGCTCCCCCTATTGTGTTCCCTATCCATGTTGAAATCGACAAGGTCCACCGTAAGCGGAGCCGGATCCAATCCAACATTGGCAGGCAAGGGGTACCGTTCACACTCACACTGGTGTGTACACTGGTTTGCAGAAATCTCTGTGTTGGCATAGGGCCTATCATAGGCCCTTGTGCTGAGGTTTCAGTTTGGCAGAATTGGGGTTAGGATTTGGATTACATGTAGATAATGTGAAGGGTGTACATATACTGTACATGTAAGGTTGGTTCATACGAGGCACAAAAGAAAACAGGAGTGCGAATCATTTGTTACATCACAGCAAGCATTTGCACTACAAATCGCCTATTAAGTGGAACACATTTCAACTCATATTAACTGTTGTGTTTCATCAACTTGGCTTCACATCGGTAAGATTGGGCCTCAAGTCATTTGTTTTAAGAAGTAGATATACAGGGTGAGTTTAAAAAAGCGGAACCCAAACCTAAAAACATGTATTTCATATTTAAAAGACTATGTAGCACCAACAGTAATAATGACTGGAAAGCCAATTTTATAAACTACGTTTAGATGAAAAAAATTACTTAAGTTGCTCAATCTGTTCAAAGTATATCACCATTTAAACACAATGACCCTAAAACCTCTTTCGTCCAAAAATGCGATTTCAAGAATCGTCGTGACAATTGGCTTCAAACAACACCAGCAATAAAACCTCAGTTTAAAAGTTAAAAATATTCAACAAAGTCCTTTTGAAGGCCCGTCTTTTGGAAAAAAAAGTGGATTTTATAAATCATATTGTTTGCCTTAGCAGGGTTGCTAATAAAGATATTGTGTTCTACAGTTGTTGACAGTTGTTGAAACAAGTATTGTGTGTCATTTTCTTTGTTGTTCCAAACAGTCAAAACACACAATATATTGTGGGTTTTTTTTTGACGAAACAGGTTTTAGGGTCATTGCGTTTAAATGGTGATATTCTTTGAATGGATTGAGCAATTTCAGTAATATTTTCAGCTAAAAGTAGTTTCTGAAATTGGCTTTCCAGTCATTATTATTGTTGGTGCTACTTATTTTTTTAAATATGAAATATATTTTTGGGGGTTTGGGTTCCGCTTTTTTTGACTCGCCCTGTACAATGTAACATGCGGACAAGTTACATATATACATACCGGTACATGACAAAACATACATAAAACAGCTGCCATAACTTACTCATAAAATGCTCTTGCCTTAGGGACATGTACCATCATGACTAAGTGCATAGAACAAATGTACAGATGCTGCGTAGCACTGTGTAGAGCATGGAAAAGTTAATAGTTAATGTGGAACAGTGCTCATCGGATTAGTAGTAGTACACAAAATGCATAGTGCATATATAGGCCTACATGTTATAAATATCATTTTTGTTAAAAATAAAGTGCTACCGGTATTTACTTTGGTCCAGAGAGGCTGGGATTTCCCTCAATTTAATTTAAGGTCGACAGATGCGTCATTCAGACTTTTCTTTCAATCCATACAGTAAACCGTCACTTTCCAGTTGGTGAATCATAGCATATCACCGTGGTTACGGTCCCATTGTTCATATTGTACATGTGTAACTATACCAAGGGGAAGGCTTTGTTTGGGATATTAGAAATGTAAACACTCCATGCCTGACTGGAACTGTTGTGTCCTTATGAAACGGTATTGCACGCTTTTTTTTTTCTTTTTCTTTTTTTAGTTGCGGTATCTGAGTCATTTCGTATCATACGATTGTTCTGTGTGGGTGTTTGTAAACTACATGTAGTTCCTGCACCCAATTTCATGAAACTCATAATTTACGATGCATCGCAGTGCTGCGCACATCGATGCGTTCTGTGATATCATTTCACAAAACACGTCGTAAGTGCAACATGTGTCGTAGGTGTATTTTTAGCACAACTCAGTGACCTTTATAGGTATTTATTCAACGTACAGTAAAAAGTCATCTGATATTCAGCAAAAAGTCGTCGGATCTCCTCTCGAAAAGTTCGCAGTGGGCTGTTAGCTACTTTGAAATTTCATTTGCAATATTCCAAGCTTCATTTGTAATTTATATTTACTTTGATGCATTTTCCATTTACAACTTGACACACATTGTCTCGATATTATAGTCGCGTGTATGTATATTATTAATAATAATAATAATAATAATAATAATAACATTTATAAAGCGCCTTTTCCTAGGGTTACAAAGTGCATAAAAATGGCTAAGACCTTTCTTATTTTGCGATGACCGCTAGACATGTTGGAACTTGCGACGTGGTTTAAGCTGTTGTCAAGGAACTTACAACGCGTTCAACACATCGTTAGTTTTGTGAAATGGATTATACGCATTAGGCGTCGCAAATGGAGTTGCGACACGTCGCAGTGCTTCGTGGAATCGGGTGCTGGGTCTATTGGTTAGTAGACGTAGAGAAGTGCATTGTGGCTTAGTCGTGTCTTTTGTGTTTTTCAATTCAATTCAATTCAGTTGACATTTATGTAGCACTCTCCAATAAACCAATACAAAGTTGGATAATGTAAGTGCAATACAGTTATATTTAAACAAACGATTACAAATGTGAAGGTAATTACCACCAGAAAAAGTGATACCAAAACAATATAGCAACCACTTACTGCTTTGACCAGGGTTAAGAAAAATTCAAGAAGGAAATGAGGATTGGTCATTTTCAAAATGTAAAGTATTTAATACACTTGTACGAACTTCTAACAATAAATTTTGCGATCTACAATGACTTTTGATGGAGAGCATACGTATATCCCAATATTTATATTCACATCTCTCCTTCATAAAATTTCATCAAACGTCACCTCAATTTAGTTAGCAACAACATGAGATCCAACAAAATTGTTTCAATTTATATTGCTTCAGCTGCAAAAAAAATAAGATAAATGGGGGAAAATTACAACCAAGTTGATGAGTTGTGTAATGGCCATCTGAATATCAGCCCAAGTAACATGCATTTTGGATTGGTGTCAAAAGTGAACTGCAATTGTTGGCGTCATTGATGGGGAAATGAGATTAGGAAGGGAGAAATGCTGACAGACGTCTGACCTGTCCCGTCAGATGGACACACCCAAGCATCCCCCTACCCAAGCTTTGCTACCGTCTTCCGCTGAACTGTTCTGCAATGGTTTGGTTTAATAAGTGACAGGTAATGTTCTTCCTGGAACTTCAGGGTTCTAATTCTCTGTATCCCTCTTTTCTTCTTTCATTTTCCTCTTATAGACTTAAGACTCATAATAAAGTGTTCGCATCTCCCTGCAATCTCTACACATTCTCCAAGACAAATTGGCCTCTGATTGTGGAGCACTGTGGTCCAATGGTTACGGTGTTCGACTCACGTGCAGTGGTATGTGGGTTCAAACCGTGACGGGGAACGTGGTGCTTGTGTTCTTGGGCAAGACACTTTACTACAATTGCCTCGCTCCACCCAGGAGTATACATGTAAATGGGTACCTGTGAAGGTAGAGACCAGAATGCACTAATCTTGAGCTGCTGCAAAAACTGGTCTCGTGGCCTGATGAATAGGGGTAATAATTGTGAAGCACTTTGATACCTTTGGTATGAAGCGCTGTATAAGCACCACCGCACTATTGTCTGAGAAATCTCCAATTAAAATATGTACATTTTTACCTTTACTTTCACAGTAAAAGAAACTCAAATGAGAATAAATTACAAGAAAATGTACATATATGTCTTTGTGCTTATAACATACTGAAGAAATTCTGCTCTAAAATATACAATAGCAATCTGCATGATTAAAACTAAATAAGCTGGTCCCAACTCAGATAAAATCACAAGACACCTGTTAAAATAGTTAGTGAATGTGAGTTTTAATGGAGACACTTGAGTTACAGTCACTGGCATTACAATGTAACACATGAAGAATATATACTGTATGCTGTACATTGTATGTAATGAAAGAGCTGTGTATAAAACTGGAAATAGCTTTGATTACCTCATGTAACAGTCATGCCACTATGCCAACTGCAGCCTGTGCATGAAAAGTGGAATGACCCTGACTATATTGCTAATATTCCACACAATGAAGACAATGGAAAGAAACAGAAACTTGGTGGTATTCTGAGGAACATGCACAATGTACCTGTATGTAAATGTACAATGTATGTATACATCCATGTACGATGTATGAGGTCATATGTTTATAATGGGTTTTTTTAACTACACTAAATCAAGTGTCATGACACAGCCGAAATACATTGTAACTGCACGATTTTGCGACAATTGAAGAGTTCAGCAGACATTTCAAATAAAAAAAAAACGTAAAAAGGATTCGTGCTTTGGGTTTTGTAACATTGAAACCAATATTTGACATGTACATATACATGTATCTCCACGCAGTATTTGTACATACATGTATATATACATGTAAATGAACATGTAAATGTACATGCACAAAGGAAAGTTTGGCCTCAATTTCCTTTTATTTGACCACGCTGGCAGGCGCGGTTCTACAGGGGGGCTAGGGAGGGCTGTAGCCCCCCAAAAATTTAGTCTAGCCCCCCCAAAATAAATTCCAAAAAAAAAAATTGCATTAGCAAAAAGAAGGATTGTGATGTACATGCGAACGGTCTCCCCCTAAAGAAAAAGTCGTGACAAGGGTGCATTTGTAGTTAATATAGTGTGAATGATTTTAGGATTTTATTGGCGCTCCCCATTGAAAATATGGCATGAGGCCCCCCCCCCCCCCCTATTGATTTTCGGAGGCCTAAGTGTCTGGAAAAAATAACCGGTCTACATTTCAGCACGCCTCCCTGAAAAAAATTCTTGATCCACCGTGCTAGCCCCCCCAAAATATTGGTTCTAGAACCGCGCCTGCACGCTGGTCTTGAAGGGAAATACAGTTTACAAAATTATATAGGGGTGAAACTGCATGTGCTCAGCCTGTAATTACATGTGTATGTACCTGATGTTAATGGGTGAATACTACCCAGACAAAATTGAAATTGATTTACATGTTATTGTTTAACACCTTTGTGGAGTTGAGCCATGTAACAATAGAGTACCTACCAGTACATGTACAAATAAGGTTTTTAAAGGGAACATTTGCAAACATCAAAAAACGAAATGATCAAATTATCACGAGATACATGTACCTTACTGGATTGTTAGGGAATGACAGTCTAAAGCATCCTGTAAAATCGTGTCTCTTGGTGTGCTGACATTTTCAAGAAAATGTGTATTTTTCCAAGGCTTGTCAGCCGACCAGCATTGGGGAAAACTGTTTTTTTTTTCAAAAACCACTGCAAATTTTTCATGACAGTTGTTCTGCATTATCTTTGCAATTGGTTACACACCTGTGAAGGGGTACAAGCCTGCCAGACTGATTCTCTGACCTTACAATTCCCAAAAGTCTATAAATTTCTCTGTTTTTATCTTAAGTCAATGTAAGTGGGGGTCAGAGAACCAGACTACAAGAACATGATTGGTTTTCTTGGTTTTTCCAGCATCTGCAAGCCCAAAACGTAAAACAATTCAGTTTAACTATACATTTGCAATAACATTCTAATCATCCAAATCCATATATTTCTGAAAATTGCATCAAAAACAAATGTTGTACATTCCCTTTAAGTAGAGTGCATGCATCCAGTTGGTTGCTAACCAGAACTTCACACACACACACACACAAAAAAAGGATAAATGAAAAAAATGCAATTTAGCTCTAACTTTCTATCGCAACATGACAAGGAATGTGCAGTTGTATCAACTACATATCAAAAAAGGTTTTCATATGTATTTTTGCATTGGGAAGAGGTACATGTACATGTAATGTTTTGCCCTTCATCAACATGTAGTTTTTTTAGCAAAGTATACTCGGTGGCCAAGTGGTTAGATGTCTGCTGAGTGGTTTAATGTCTTCATTAGAGAGCAAGAAGTCATGTAGTCCTCAGTAACAGGGATACGTGTATGTCCTGCTGTTGCCTGATTTCAGTCTTTTTCCAAATTGTAAATAACATAATTATTGGCAGCGTACCGGTACATGTGTGTGTACTTTTCCTTTATACCTCCAGTTTTCAGGCAAAATTGTCAGCGTCCACTTACGTCCCTGAAGTACATATAAGTTTGTTTTTCCTCACAAGCTATTGGACAGCATACAGTATACAATACATATAAAATTAAATTTCAGTAAACACCAAAACCCAACAAGAAATTTCATAATTCTCAAAAAATCGCGGACCTCTTTATGACAAATCACAGCACACACTATGACAAGACTGTGAAATGGGCAGGACAAAAGCTGAAATGATCACAAATCAAATTTCTCTTCTTTTCATTTGTCTTGCTACTGTCCAGAACCTGGAGTTATCCCAAGATGCCCGATCGGCGCGGTCGTACCGAGACGAGCTGGACGTGTGGAAGGAGAAGGCATCCAAGGTGGAGAAATATGAGAAGGAGATTGCCAGATACCGGGAGAAACTCAATGAGCTGGAGTATCTCAAGAGACGAGTCGAGGTAAAATATCAAACGTACACGACAATGGGTCTTATTGAAACAGTTATCCGACTTCAGTAACTTTTTTAAATCAAAAAATTAAATATTGAGAAAATGATGTTTTGAACCGTGGCATTATGTTAGCCCTAATTCCCTAGGCCTTTTTGCTAGGATGTAGCCTCAATCCTGCAAAATCCTCCAATTAGCCTCATGGAAAAAAAGCATATAGCCTCAATCCTGCAAATTCTTCCATTAATTCCATTCTTCCATTCAATTCTTCAATTCTTCCATTCTTGAATATGGTCCGTGGAGAGGTGACCACTGCCTGAATCCTGCAAAATCCTCCAGCTATGACTGTCAATAGGCTGAGGCAGAGGCAGTGACATCCTGGAGCAGTGCGGAGGATTTCAAGTATAATCAAGGACTAAGTTTATGCAAGACCTTGACATAGTGCGTGCTCCGAAATCAGCAACGCACTTTTGCCATGTAACCTCAATCCTGCAAATTCCTCCAATTTGCAAAAAGGATTTAAGAGGATTTGGGATGGTTAGGGTTAAGTAACGCCAACAACCTTCGATTCATGTAGGTTTATAGACTAACTCGGTGACAGCCATTTTCTGAGGTGGAACCAGGCTCGCGAGAGTCGCACTGAGGTAATACACACGCACTCTGGGCTCCTTCGACCAACAGGGTTACCAAAATGCACGCGCGCCTTGTCTTTAAGAACGCGTGCGGCATGCGCGCGAACGTGGTGCCACCTCATAAATGGCTTCTAATTAGTTTGTTGAATTGGTCTATATGCACAAAATGGCATCTTTACAGGGCCCTCATTGGCTCAAGATACAGGAGTGATTCACAATACAGGGCGAGTCAAAAGAAAGGAAACCCAAATGTCAGGACCATTGTTTTAGTGAAGTTCTGCATGTAACACTTTCAAAATCTAGGATATGAAAGCCCAATTAATAAGCTTTCTTTTAGTACAAGAATCATTCAAATCACTCATGTACTTTTCAAGTTACGAAATTTCAAACACAAACAATTTCAAACACAATACAATGAAGCTGGCAACATGATGAATACATTCCCAATCTTTCAGTCACCTGAAAAATGAGATGTTTTTTGTCTGAAGTGCAGGGTTGTGTTCCAAAGATGTTTGCTTTCTGTTCAGAACTGTTGAACTATGCCGTCCTTTTTTTGGTTTTATAGATAAGGAAGTAGCTTGTCGAAAATTAAACAAATGGAACTTATCATTGACTGCTGTGCTACAGGAAGCATCCTTAACATTTGTTTCCGGTGTTTCCAAGTGTCAGATTGTCATCTGGAATGAGGCCAATCAACAGACTAGTGCAATTCTGTTAAACTTGTGCAGGTTTTGGTGAACTGTGTGTTTTTGTGATCACTGACTTATCACCCTTTTAATGATTCCATTCTCACTTTGCATTGAGAGAGTTAAACGTTGTTTCTGTTCAGTTTTGTCTTTAAAACAAAATTCAGTATATGGCAAGTTGTATTCCCCTCATTCGGTGTTTGAAAACGTTTATTATTGTTAGTATTTCTTTGTTCTTTCAGAATCTTTGTTCTGATTATTATTTCTGGTACCAAGGAGTCCTCAAAAGTGCCCTAGGCACTGTAGCTGACAAGCCTGAAAAAAATCTGTAGAGAGAAAGACAATGAGAAGAAATTACAGTTTTAGAGGTGGGAGGAAAACCCCAGAAGAATATTCTAGGGAAAACACAATCCACATGTAGGCCGAGGCGGGATTCGAACCTGGGTCACAGCGGTGGAAGGCGAGGAAAGTACCGCTAGGCCAACCTGACTCCCCTACTCCTTTAACCCTAACTCCCTAAGCCTTTTTTTCCAGGATGTAACCTCAATCCTGCAAAATCCTCCAATTGGCCTCATGGAAAAATAGTATGTAGCCTCAATCCTGCAAATTCCTCCATTATTTCTTGAATATGGTCCGTGGAGGGGTGACCACTGCCAGAATCCTGCAAAATCCTGCGGCAGTGACAGTCAATATGTTGAGGCTTGGCCAGTGACATCCTGGAGCAGTACGGAGGATTTCAAGCATAATCCAGGCCTTTATTTATGCATGGCTGAGCAAAAAACAACACAAGGTCCGGCCCAAGACCTTGACAAAAAGCACTACGAAATCAGTAACGCACTTTTGCCATGTAACCTCAATCCTCCAAATTCCTCCACTTTGGCAAAGAGGATTTTGAAGGATTCAGGGCGGTTAGGGTTAAAGCCAAATATCGCACGAATGATTTATTCACTACTGGTATGAATTATGAATTGGAAAGTCAATCCTGGATAACTTAATTCCTGCAGAACAATATGGACTCTGTATGCAAGTGTACCCCCTCAGTTACAAATAGACTTCAAGGCATTGTCATTGTATGCCTGGTGCTCACAAAAGAAGATACAGGTTTCTGCATGCTGGAATAAAATCAATTTTGTACTTTGGAGCCATAACGCGGCAAATAGTGTTAACATGCCATTGTCACTGCCAGGGAGCTTTCAGAGATGGTCATGAAGTGCTAATCTATCGTTCATGCACAGAGTCCAATGTCTCTTGTAGAGAGTCCATAGCTGACCATTTTGTACCTTCTAACCCAACCAGGAGCTGCGAGAAGACAACCAGCTCCTGCACGAGACCCGAGGGCTCCTGGAGGACCAACTGGAGGCTGCTCAACACAAGGTAGAGAAGGGACGGGAGGCGGAGGCCGAATGCCTGAGGCTGCGGGCCCAGCTGGAAGCCATGGAGGACGAGCGAGACTCAGACCGGACCAAGATCCAGGAGCTGGTGGCAGAGGTGTCCAAGCTGCAGCTAGACCACAAGCAGAGCCTGGACGAGTCGGCCTCGCTTGGGGTAGAACTGGAGAAGGCCAAACACAGCTTGTCGCCACGTTAGTATCCGCATGTGTATTTTGTTGTTGGTTTAGTTGGGGAGTGTGGGCTGATGGTTAGGGTTTGTTACTCGTGATCAGAGGGTCAGGGATTCAAATTCAGCTGCTGGTCATATGTTGTGTCCTTGGGCAAGCCACTTCACCCCTTTACCTCTCTCCATCCAGGAGTATAAATGGGTACCGGCATTAGCTGGGTAGTAACCTGCGGTGGACTTAGCATCCAAACCAGGGGGAGTAGAAATATTCTTAGTCGTTTCATGCTACTGAAACCGGAGATAAACGCCGACCTGATGGGGCACATTGGCTCATGACAGACTTTACTTGTTTTACTTTTACTTAGTGCATTGAGACCAACCTGGGCTCAGAATCACTCTACTCTCACAGAGGGACCTCGGTAATTGTGGAAGCATTGTTCCCAGATGCACGACAAACAAATGACAGCTATTCAGAACAATAGCTAGCACAATGCTGTTGCCATTGCTGAGGCACCCCCTGAGTGCACTGTGTGTCTGAATTTGGTCTCCGTTGTAAAAGTGGAATAATTTTCTTGTTTTCAAAAATCGTTTCAAAGGACTGTTAAGGCCTGAGACACAGATTTCTTCTGAAGTCCCAACGCATAATGATACCAGACCCTGTTAACATGTATGCTCTCTTTTGGGATTCTAGTACCAGACATCCCCATCCAATAAAAAATATCTGATGCATCATTACTTCATAAAAGTGTGACATTATTCTCTAGTTTGTGCTAGCCAGTTTGTTTTCTAAGCAGCAGGAAATATTCATAATTGTTGGTAAATGATGAAGAAATTTTGTTTTCATCAAATCTGAGAACTAACAGAAATCCAATAACACTCAGTGTCTTGGTGGGAAAGACAAGTGATATGAGTGGATCAAATTTCCTTAATTTTTTTAATATAGAAAAAAACATTGATTGAAGGAGTTTATGATATAGTTTTCATCAAATTTAATTTGCAGTTGGGAACTCATTGTCTGCTGAGTGTAATGAGTCAGCCTCTTCACGCATCCTGAGACTTGAGAGAGAGAACCAGCGCCTTCTCCAAGAGATTGAGAGCCTCAAAGATGTAGCTTCTTTACAGAGTAACAGCCAACTCCTCGAGATGGAGAAGGAGAACAAGCGACTAAGTCGCAAGGTGGACATGCTGCAGCAGACAAGCAAAACGGACATTCAGAACTCCCTGGAACTTGAACAGGAGATCAACCGGCTTAAACGAGAAAAGCAGCAGCTGGATGAGACCATCAACACCGTCCGGGAGAACGCTGAGCGTCAGAGCAAAGAGTGGTCCATGGAGAAGGGCCAGCTGGAGGAGACAGTGGAGAAGCTACGGGAACGCAACAAGAAGGATATCGACCAGCGTGTCCAGGACGTGGAGAAGGAAAACAAGAAGCTTGCTGAGGAGAAGCGGGAGTCCCAGATGCAGATCTCTAAATTGGTGTATGAAAACAAGCAGCTAGATCGCTGCCAAGAGAAGCTGAAGGAGCACAGTGCCAGGGTGGAGACCCTTGAGCAGCAAAACACGGAGCTGGACTCGGAAAGGGACAAGCTGAACAGGAATGTCCAGACGCTGAAACTAATGTGCGAGAAGTTTGATGAGGTGGAGAAGGCCAACTCAGTCCTGCAGATTGAGAAGCAGCGGCTGGAGAAGTCGGTGGAGACACTGCGGGCCAATTGCCAGAAACTGGAGCAGGCAGAAGGTGAGAACGTGCAGCTGAGGGCAGAGGCACAGAGGCTGCACCGGTCTCTTGAGTCGCTGCGGAATGCCATGTCTCGTGTCACTGAGCTGGAATCTGAGAAGGAGGACCAAGACCGGAAAAACAGAATCCTTCAGAAATCACTGGATGCCCTGAAACCCACGCAGGACAAGGCCACCCACTTGGAGGTGGACAACATGAAACTGGAGACGGAGAAAAAGAAACTGGAAAGCAGCGTCCAGCTCTCCAAGAACAAAATAGAAAAACTGGAGAAGGAAAACCAGGACATGGACAGCGAGATCGAGCAGCTTAAGAAGAATCTGGATGCCGCCAGCCTCATTGCCAAGAAGGTGGAGGAGCTTGAAACCGAGCAGAAGACCTCAGATACCGAGAAGATGGGACTGGAGAAGGAACGCAGCCAGCTAAGCAAAGAGAACAAGAGGCTGAGGCAGTCACTGGAATCCAGAGAGCGGCTTGTAGACGAAGCCAACGCACGTGTCCACACCCTGGAACAAGAGAATCGGCAGCTGCAGAAGGCCATCAATAAGAACAAGGAAGCCAGCGAGAAGCTGAAGGAGCTAGAGAAAGACAACAAGGAGTTCCTGAAGCAAGCCACAATAGACAAGAAGACACTCGCAACCTTGAGGGAGGTGAGCTTGTTGGTTGTAATATCAAGAAGAAAAAAGTAATCTAAGCAAAAACTGATAAAAACATTGCATTAATAATATGTGCATTTTCATGGTAGCAAAGAAGTAAGTGCCGTAGCTTTATGAGCATTTTCAATGCCTCAAGATTTTACTCTAAGAAAATGAGGTCATATTTTATAAACCATCCACATCAGTTCAGTTGAGCTGGGTTTAAGTACAACTGACAGTAGAGACATAAGTTTTTCTTTATTAAAGTAATCGGTCATGATCCGGTCCTACTTCACTTGTTTATTTTAGATATGACAATAATATTGTACTGATCAATGGTGTTTTAGCAATTGCCAGACCTTGCGAAAAGTTTTTAATCCCATTTTTTTCCTTTTTTTTTACGTAGGAGCTGGTCAATGAAAAGATCAAGGGGCAGCAGCTGAGCAACGATCTGGAAAAGCTGAGCACGGAGCTGGACAAGATTGGACTGGACAAGAACAAGCTATTGCACGAAGAAGTTCGGTTGGATGAGACGTAAGTCTTGAGAACAGAGTGGTATTCTGGCCCAACGGTTTTTCCCACGGCGGGTGTAAAACACGCCGTGGGCTTGAGCTGCTTATGTTGGTGGGTGGTTGGTGGGTTGGTTGGTGGTCAGTTTACTCGGCCGTATAATGTATTCATGCAACTCAAGTATTGCACCTTTGCATTCGAAGACCAATTTTGAAAACACTGATGCGCATGTGTCTAATTTGCATATTTTTGCATATTAGATAAGGCCCCATTCGGGTGCACGGACGGTGCCGTATTAAAGCCGTCTTCACACTTTACCCGGCCGTCGTAGGGTTGTACCACTTGGTACTTGTTTGCCCAGTCACAGCCATGACTTTTGTCAGATATGCGTCCACAAAAGTCTGACATGCATGCACGCGCATAACATGCCCAGCTGGAGCATGCACTGCTGCATCGGAGAGGTGCAGATGTTGTTTCCCACGTGCACTGTGGGTGGATCCTGTTGGGTCGGTCTATTCAGTCACAAGCCAATCACAACGTCAGGTCACAGTAACAGGTGATGAACAGCAACAGAGGAATGTCTTTACCAATGTTCATTCGAATAGCTGGACTTTAGACTGGATTTGCCGTGTGGTTTGTGATTGATTCATGATGTCCTATATACTCAGGCATGCAACTTTTTCTAGGATCAGCTGACGTCATCGTTTTTCACTTCTCACTTATGCCATTAAAAATTGAACAACACTGTGCAAAGTCTTGTAAAGATTGAAGTTCCTCTCTTTTTGCTACTTCCAAGTTGCATGCCTGTGTGTTCTTGACTATTCTTTACTCTATTACAACTCTGCTGAAGAGTGCATTCTGTTCTACATATGCTTGCGGACAAACCATGGAAAAAAATTGCTCTTCATCACACTAGATAATACTTATCAAGGTATTTGTTATTATTTGGTGGTTTTTTTTCCAGACGTTACAAGACTCTCCAAAACAAGATGGAGGATGCCTTCCAGAAGAACCTACAGATCAAAGAGGAACGAATTACTGCCTTAGAGACCAAGTAAGAAATGAACTCATTCATTCATCTGAAGTCAGTTGCTTGACCAGCAGTAACTCTGCTCATTGATGTTCACAGAGCACCTTTCCTTATTTCACATTTGTTGTCAAGAAGCATCCTGTAATCCAACAGCTAAAACCGAGACCAGTTTGCATCCAGCCTTTGTCCACAATATGAATAAACTATAAAGTTTTGTTTTTTAATACAAAAGCCAAAACTTGTTATCCTGATTCAGGGGCCATGTTTATTACTGGCCAGTGTAAAGAGTTCTCAGCGGTGTTTAAACAGTAGTGCGAAACTACCCATGTGATAAGCTCTCTAATAATAGGATTGGACAAACAGTATCTATTGAATATGTATCATATTGTATTAAATGGCAAACCAGGCATGAGATTTTCAGACTTCTGTCTGATTTCAGACTTTTTGAATCTGAGAGAAAGACATTATCAGTATAGAAAGAAATGCATCTTTCAGACCTTTCTGATCCGTGCTGCAAACAGTGAATGTTATATACGTGTAAGATGGAACTTGCATCAAGGAGATGTAAATTTAATTTGGTTTTGCCCTTCGCCAACTTTTCTTTTTTATAAACATTGTATTCTCTGCGTTGTCTGAAGGTTTGCGAGAAAAATTCACAAGCTTTAACACTCGGGTGGGACTTGAACCCACTACCTGCTGCTTACAACTGCAGACGTATCACCACTTGACCACCGAGTTTGTGAATGTATTGCTGGATTAGCTGGATCGTCACATTCATAATACTCTATCTTTGTTGATAGTTCAGGAATGATTATTTCAACATCTTCAAGCATAAACTAATTCCAAACTTAATGTGATTATTCTAGGTTGCAGTTGTCTGAGAGTCAGAAACAAAAACTAACTGTGGAGTTGAAGGAACGAGGAGTCCAGGAGGTGTTGGTTCAGCGGCAGGAAGAACAGAGGACTATGTCCAGCCCTGGAGACGCCAAAGTCAAGTAAGAGACCCAAGTTTGATTGAGGACCGTTGGTCAACCTTAAAGCATATAGGATCATTGGCAGTTATCCCAAAAGTAATCTGGCAAATTATTATACAAATGCTTACTTGGATTAAAGATGGTAGTGGTTCTAAACACCTGGTGAAATTATTCCGTCTGGCTTGATGCATTTTAAGAAATGTAGGTGATATCCAACAATCAGTCAATTGACTCATCGTTGGAAATAAAGAGTTTTATGGATGAAATCGTGTTTCGCGAGCAAAAGGTTGTGCATGGTTTTTCACTGTTTTCACAAAAAGTGCAAGATCCGCTGAGCTGAAACTTCAACTGGTTAGGTTTGCATATTTTCTTTTTGCGATTTTGAGTGTTGTTATTATTGGAAACAAACGAAATGTATGAAAAGCAAATGATTCCATATGCCTCTTAACAGACACATCCCTTCTTACAGCAATGTGCATAAAAATGTAGTCTGCCTGCCTGTCATATGTTACAATACATGCATGTACAATTTTATACAATTTATATACATTTTCACCAATTAGTCACTGTTCCAGTCCAAACTCCTTCGCTATTACTCCCTTATTCAGTGGAAATATGGATTTGTCAGAGAGTAAACACAACTTAATACAATGTAGTACTAATGTGCTAATGGTTTAACACCAATCTTCATTCCTTGTTATAATTCAGGAGGACGGATAGTGATCGCCTGCATTCCAAGCAGATTATGCAAATGAAGGACCACCTTGTCGAGTTGGAACGATCTGTAAGTGCTGCTGTCATCATTTCTACATTTTCGCTCCACTGACTTCCAAATGTTGAAAACTGCCTTGGTTCTATTTCTGTAAAGGTGTTCTCCAAATTGACCTACCGTGTCTTGTATGCTACCTTTTTCATAAAACAATCTGACCATCAAGGCCCTTTGGACAGCAGTAAACTGCGGCCATGGGTAATTTGAAATGTTGTGTCTTGCAGTGTAGTGTGCTGGCCATTAAGTAACGTTAAATATCCCCTTAAAAATATTAGGAAACATGGTGTTGGTAGTGTTTTAGGGTAGTCACAAAGAAAGCCTGTATCCTTTGCATTCATTGCTGAATATCAGTGAAACTTGTACTGAATGTGGTCAATACCCAGATCAAATTTTGGTTGAAGAGTAACAAATGTTAATGTTTCCTGTTTTTGTGGGAGAGGACTTATCCAAGGGGATATTTTTATTACTCACCCTGTATATCACATTGTTACTATTAATGCTTCACCATCTTTGACGTTTTAAATGATGGTACAAATTGTGTCAGATTTGATTGAAATAGTGCAAAAGTCATTGCAGTATCAATAATTAAAATCACTGTTTTTTTTGTTTTTGTTTTTTCTTGTTGCCAGAATGCCACCCTCCTTGCCGAGAACAATAGCCTCAAGACCCAGCTCGCTAGCTTACAGAGCCAGGTGGACTCCCTCCGCTCAGAGAACAAAGCTCTGCAGAACAAGGTGGAGTCGGTCCAGGAGAAGCAAATCTCCATGCAGTCGCAGCAGGCCAAGCTACAGGTGGAGAACAGCACACTGCAGTCCCACAACGCCTCCCTGCAGTCGCAGTACACCGCCATGCAGGCCAAGCTGACATCCCACGAGTCCGACTACGAGAAGGTCAAGGAGCGGCTCAACGAGCTGCTGACCAACTACGAGGCACTGCTGGGCGACCACGAGACTTTAGTCCAGCTGCACGACACACTGAGTAGCGAGTACGAAGCCCTGACGTCCGAACACAAGTCCCTTAAGACCCTACACAGGGAGATGAAGAATGAGATAGGGGATCTTCGTAACCGCTGCCGGGACGCTGAGATGCAGTCTAAGGAAGTTGAGCGCCTCCAGTCATCGGTTCGGGAAGAAGAGAAGAAAGTGAAGAGGATGCGGACGGACAACCTGTCCATGAGCTCCCTGCAGCTAGAGTTTAACTCGCTGTCGCACGCACATCTCCGACTCAACCAAGAGTACAAGGAGGTGGAGGATGAACTCAAGAAACTGAAAGCTCAACACAGGTTAGTTCCTGTCTTTGGAATCAAAGAGGATCCTGTTGGGAAGTAGAGATGTGCATTTCTGATACAAACCTATCTTTTGCTACTTCCACAATAGGGGGACATTTTACAACAAAAGATGTAAAACTTAACTTAACAACAAAAACTTATTTACTCCAAAGTTAAGAAATGTAATATGTTATTTCATGGATCAAAAACTAATAGGGTAATTAAATTCTTAACATGGTAGGAACCAGACCTGGTCGTGTGACATGTGCCAGCTAAACGAAAACAACTCTGTAGTTACAAGCAAATCCCAGTGAAATTTCTCGCTGAAGGACGTGAGCCCATTTCCTTATCAATTTGGAGCCCTCGTTCAATATATAATACAGCTTATATCGCCTCACCCTCGGATTCTGTATCTTGATTGGCCCAGTATTGTTCCCACGTGCTACAGAGTTGGGTTCAAATATTTCATGAAGGGTCACTTTGGGAAAAGTGCAAGTAACTTTTCAACTATATCAAGCAGAATCTGTGTGTGAGGCATTATAAAACAAGTATTGACTGTTTTAACTCTTGGTTTAGTAAAACTAGCCTCCCTTGGTGATCCATGGAGCTTTCCATTTCCCTTGGCTACACCTCTGGAAAACAGAATGCTCAATGGATCACCTTCAGAAGCTAGTATTACCACACCACTCAAATCAGTCAATATTTGTATAATATAACAATTTTCCCACAGCCCATGAGAGCTTTTCCTTGATTATACAGATTTTTGCAAAATGAGTTTAATTTCTTGCATTTAAACAATCCTGACGAGTAGATACTTTTGCCCTATTTGACCTGTGATAGGAACCTTCAGTTGGACTACACCTCCCTGCAGGGCTACCTGAATGAGGTCAAGGACAAGTGTACATCAGCTGAGATGGACAGCTTGAAGCTCAACCATCGCTGTGAGGTACGCCTTATAGGTCACCCACCCGTCCAGAAATCACACTTAGAAAATCTCAAACAATGAAAACTCTACTTCGGCTATGGTGTTCCTGACATTGCCCACTTCTTTTTGTTGAAATTGGCAATAGTTTGGTAACCTCACAACAACGACAGTCCTTCATTTGGAATAACTAGATAGTTTTGATATCTACAATTGGTTAGACTTTCTGGTTCCTTCTCAAAACTAACTTTTTTTAGTATTTTATCTCATAATGTCGTTATTGTCTCCTCTTGTCTTTTGTAACTTTTGCCATCACTGCCTTTTTCTATCTCCATCTGACAGATGCTTAACCAGCTTAACAGCAAGCTGGAAGAGGAGAACCATAAACTCATGGAGCAACTGAGCCAACTTCTTGCCCAGAACTCGGAGATGCTGGTGGATGCCCTGGAGACTAAGGAATTTCACCACGAAGAGCAGCATGTCTTAGAGTGAGTAGTTTTGGGGCACTAAGGTGGTCAATAGGTTAGGGATAGGGAAGGGGCTTTCTCGTCAAGACCTTTGAGATGGTTGTCGATAGGGTAGGAATAGGGAAGGGTAGTGCTTGCCAAGACCCTAGGGGTGGTTGTCAATAGGGTAGGAATAGGGAAGAGTCGTGCTTGCCAAGAGATGGTTGACAACAAGGTAGGGATAGAAGAGGTTAGTTCTTGCCAAGGCCTTAGAGATGGTTTTTGATAGGGTAGGGGTAGGGAAATGTAGTGCTTACCAAGGCAATAGTGATGCTTGTCGATAGGGTAAGGAATAAGGAAGCATTGTGCTTCCCGAGATCATAGAGATAGTTGTCCATTTGGTAGGGGTAGGAAAGGGAAGTGCTTGCACAAACCTCAGAGTTGGTTGTCGATAGGGAAGGGGTAGGCAAGTGATTGCAAAGGCCTTAGAGATGGTTGTCCATAGGGTAGGGATAGGGAAGGGAAGTGATTGCAAAGACCGTAGAGATGGTTGTTGACAGTGTAGAGATAGGGAAGGGGAGTGCTTGCAAAGACCTTAGAGATGGTTGTCCATAGGGTAGGGGTAGGGAAGGGTAGTGCTTGCCAAGACCTTAGAGATGGTGGTCAAAAGGGTAGGGATAGGGAAGGATAGTGCTTGCCAAGACTTTGCAGATGGTTGTTGATAGGGTAGGGTACGGAAGGGTAGTTCTTGCCAAGACATTAGAGATCTTTTGCAATAGGGTAGGGATAGAGAAGGGCAGTGCTTGCCAAGACCTCAGAGATGGTGGTCAATAGGGTAGGGATAGGGAAGGGAAATGCTTGCCAAGACCTTAGAGGTGGTTGTTCATAGGGTATGGGTAGGGAAAAGTAGTGCTTATCCAAACCTTAGAGATTGTCGTCGATAGAGTAGGAATAGGGAAGGGTAGTGCTTGCCAAGACCTTAGAGATGGTTGTCGATAGTGTAGCGTTAGGGAAGGGTAGTGCTTGCCAAGACCATCGGGATCATTGTCGATAGGGTAGAGATAGAAGAGGGCAGTGCTTTCCAAGACCTTAGAGATGGTTGTCGATAGGGTAGGGATTGGGAAGCTTTGTGCTTGCCAAGACCTTAGAGATGCTTGTAGATGTCTTAGAAACAAAGGAGTTTTGGGGTGCTTGTGTTTGAGTTGGGGATTCTTGACACCCTAGATTTAAGAGATGGTTGTTGATACTTAGAGATCCAGAAAAATGAACATAAAGAACAATGTCAAGTCTTAAGTGATGTTCATAAGGACACCTACTTTGAGTTTTACTTAACAGAACAGAATTTATCAGTTGCAGAGGGATGGCAAATTGGTTGCTGAAGAACTACTTCTTGTACAATCATACCTTTATCTTTATGTCTGTTTCGTCTAACCAGAGAGCAGCTGCACAACCTCCGGAGGCAAAAGGAGAAACTTGAGGAAAAGATCATGGATCAGTATAAGCACTACACACCTCCAAAGAAGTAGGTTAAGAAGTTGCTTGTTTTGAATGATAATTGAAAAGTTTAATAAAAAGTAGTGTTGGAACTGTTGGTAGTCAAATCCATTATTTGTCTTTATTACAAAAAGTCCTTTTATAATTTCTTCAAAAGAGTACCAATATAAAATAATACTCAGTTGTAAGCAGGAGGTTGTGGGTTCCATTCCTACCCGATACGTTTTGGATTGTCATTTCAAGTTGCACTTATGAAAAATGTAAAGTAGTGTGGCTATTGAAATTTGGCTTGATGGAAAAACCATCAATAAAATGAGGAGTGTTGTGTTTGTGTTACACAGATCCAAGGGGCTGAATCTTAACTTCATGAAGAAGATTTACAAGGTGAGTCTGTGTTCTTGATTTGTTGATTTATTTTACTACTTTGATTATTAAACCTTATGTTATTTGTTTCTTCATGCTAGATATGAAACAAGATTTCTGTTGGTCTTGATTAACCCTCCCATGCAAATATACATTCTGTGCCAAGTTGTCCTTGCAGTCAAAATCAATCAAGTGACTTTTTTCAACGCTTAAGAATTCCCAGCCCACATAAAGCAGGATTGACTGCCTTGGACTGCTTAAGTAACTTGTTACAGCTATGCTTTGGCTCTGGGTGAGTGATAAAACAGCTGTGACCACAACTTGCCTGCTTTGTCTGTTGACCCAGATTGACTAGACACAGTGCTTGCTTGATTATGATCTGACTGCTGGTGACTAGTCTTTGTTAAAAGTATGGCAGGGGAAGTGAAAGTGAATTGTGACTGTCTGCGACTGCTTATATAGCAGGAGGGTAAAAACGCTTGTAAAAGTTGTGTGTGTATAGTTACCGTTAATGCAAAATTATGTTGCAAAATTGTCATTCGGAAACAAATTTTATTTCATGTGCAACAGGAGTAGTAAAAAACTTGTAAGCAATTTTTTTTACATCTATAAATGATGAAACTGCACAAGGCTGTTCCTGAATCTTGTGTTATGCTTTAGATAGAAATTGATAAAGTTCTAAACTACATGTAGAGAGTTGACTTAATAATACTTGAACCTTGACGGTTCTTCACTACCTGTATCCTGATTAACCTAATTGTGAAGTAGCCGTACATGTGGAACAAAGTGCCTACTCATGTACATGTAAATATTTAAATGAGTTGACTGGGTGTCAGAGGTCAAAAGTCGCAAAGCTGCACCGGTTGTTCTCTGTCCCTGTATCCGCTCCATTAACAAGTACCCCCTCACCGGCAAAGAAAGTACAGTACAGTTGGGGATGACCGACCAACGCCATTTTGCCTGACTGCAGTTTTGCTGCAACGCGCAGCCGTACCACTGCGTGTACTTCATACAAATCCCCTGGTGTACGTGCGTCACACACAAGGAACGGTGCGCGCAAACCAGCTAAATGTCCTGCCCATGGGTCGTCGTTGCTAGGTAAAAGGGTGCCCTCTTTCGTTGGCGCCTGGAGCCCATACATGTACAAGTGAGAGTTACAGAGGAATGAACTTGTTGGTTGTGATTGTCCTAGCGAGGGCGCTCGACGGACCGAGACCGTCGTAAGAAGACACAGGAGCTACACCAGGACCCAGCAGATGGACTGAGCGGGGCAGAGAAGGACAGCCTAGGGGAGACATCCTCAGCCGGCTCAGGGATTGACTCGCTGGATGGATCAGCTGCTCTGAACCCCGACGGAACACGAAGGACCGGTGAGATAGTTGTTATGACCAACCCCTAACCAGATCCCAAATCAGCGTGGCAGTTTGGAAGGTTTTTGTCGGAATAAGGAAGATAGCATCTGGCTGCTGTAGCTTCATGCAACTTGATACCACATGAAAGTTACTGTAAAACAATTGATGATATGAAAAAGTATTGCCATCCCTGAAAACATGATTTTCATTGATTTTAAACATTAGTATTCAAATTATAATGTCTTCGGAGTCAGCTGGATATAAAACAGGTTTACAATCAAATTTGATCAAAACAAATTGTGATTAACATAAGGGGAGAACGCGAAGTAAAACGGGCAGTAACTTGAAGTTTACCTTAAGGTTTTACAGGGTTCAATCACATGATATTGCTTGTTTTTATATTGCACTCTTCCCTAAACTTACAGGCTATTTATTAACCTGCCAACCCACTTTGAATCCACTTTTATTGCTTTGAATGCGAGAGAGAGCACCTTTTGACCAGTCAAACATTCAATTTCTGGTTCGTTTCTGGCCACAGACGAGAGACGTGGTAGTGACGACAACCACCCTGTGCTTCACAGGAAGCGAGAGACCTCAGGAACGCAGGGTCACTACAGGAAATCCATGCCAGCTCATGTACTGGAAGCTCATGAGGACCCCAACATGGCTAGTAGAGGTATACTCGCAATAATAATAATAATAATAATAATAGTGGATATTTATGAAGCGCACATATCCACCAGGACTGGTGCTCAAGGCGCTACATCATTATTACCCCTGCTCATTGGGCACATGAAACATTCCAGATACCATCTCAGCTCCCTGGGGAGTATACAGCTCGATGCAGCCTGTTAGGCGCAAGGAAGCTAATTCAATCACAATAACCATCTCTGCCCTCACAGGTACCCATTTACTCCTGGGTGGAGAGAAGCAATGAATGACAAAGTGCCTTGCCCAAGGGCACACGCACCATGACCCCGCCAGGACTCGAACCCACAACCTGCAGCTTTACCCGCAAACCACGAACCAGTGCCCTTAACCACGAGGCCACAGTACTCCACAATCTCCGCAATCTGTGGCTGTACCAGAATTTTGCATTTCAGGTGGTGGCAACAGATGGTAGACTATTGCCTAAGTGGTAATATCAAGCATTAACCAAAAAATGCCAGATTCTGACTTATCCTTAGGTGCGCTATTTGTACTTCATGTAAAACCAAAGCAGATTGTATAATTTATTGTGCTGTTAAACTTTCAGTTAAAGAAATTTCTTTGCTTTGCTGAAATTTCCATGATTATGAATTGCCCATTGGTTAGACTAGTTATTTTGTGAACAATTCCAACCACCTATTCGAAACGAGGCTCTCCCCAGCTTTCGCGAACCCCCTATTTTCCTTTATCCTCATTCCTTTGTTTGTACTTTTTAGCAACAGCTCTCATTGGTTTTGTATACGAATTTCAATCGTTGACTATCGCTCGATGGTGGACATATCGTTCGTGTCCTAACCCTTTTGTCCTAGGTCCACGATTGCTGGTGTTAACATACTCATACACACATACACCCTTTCTTTGTTATAATATTGTGGTGATGCCCCAATCTTGTTAACCACATCAGGAAGTTTTGATACAATTTGCTCAACATATTCTGGATGGAATTTGATAATTTAACCCATTTTTAAGTTCAGTTTTCAAATGTATTTCTTGTTCCAGGTGGATATAGCATGTCCGTGGAGGACCTTAGACGAAGCAAGGAAACTCGTAGTCATAGTGTCTCATCCATGGAACCCAAGCACCAAATCTACACCTCCTCGCTCAGAAAAGGTGAGAGTTGGTGGACAAGTCCTTTCTTGTTTTAGTGTTTTGCATGATAACTTTGTACTTTGCATGTATGAAAGCAATGAATCAATTGTTTCATTGATTTTATGTGTCAACTTGGCATCTTTTACTTATCACAGATTTAAAGTTTGTTTTCCATTTCACAATTTTTTAGAAAGAAAGCACGTGCGGGGGCAATATTTGCTGATTGTCTTCAATTGTTTGATGTATGTTTTAGATCTTTCTGCAAAATTTGCACCAAACAAGGAAAGACTTCATGAGTTCAAAATGTGTAGATTTACATATGACCATTATTTCTTTAATTAAAATGTAAAGCCTTTAGCTTGCGAATAGTACTGTATCCATTGTTAATTTGTGGTAATTGACCTCTGACCCAACCTTGTATAATTTGTGTGACACCCAACCCCCCCCCCCCCCCCACCCCCGGAAATGTTCTCTGTCGCAGTTCGTCGCCGGAGTATGTACGATTACGACCAGCCAGCCAGCTTATCGCCCATTTCGTATGGATACCGCCACTCCCAAACGTCCTCTGGTACAGTAGTCGAGCGAAAGCCTTCATGATTAAGTTTGCATCATATCCCAGAATGCTTTGCTACCCATAATCCCTCTTCTTCCTCCCTCTGTTGTGGGCATGGCGGCACTGTGACCCGTTCTATGGTGGTTTCGCATGGCGGTGATTGGGTGCATTAATTTGTTGTGTATTACTCATATGTTTGGATGTTAATCTGTTATTACTAACACTTTTCTCCTTTTTTTGGCAGCACCCTCTCTTGTTTTGAGTAAGAAATTGGCAGGCATAAATCTCAAGGGAATTTTAATGGGTATTTTGTGGATTTCGTCGTTTGTCAGTTTGGGATGTTCCTGAATCCAGTGCAAGGCCTGGTGTTAGACCCAATCGTTTCGGGAAAAAACAGTCTGTTTTGAGTACCTGAATTCTATCAAAAGTTCTGCTGAATTAAAACCAGTTTTACTTTTAACGAGAAGCTAAAATTGGGTGGGGTTCATGTAGGTGTATTTGTATGTTTTTAAAGGGGGTATATCTGCATACATGTGAAAAATGCCATTTCAGAACAAACCATATTGAGCACAGGAATACTGTTGTCGTAAAACAAAAGTTTTCTGAATTTCTGCCTGCCATATTTTACAACAGAAACAACAGAGGGCGTTATTACAGGTCTTGTTACAATTGTGGTTGATGGAAAACTAATTGTTTTTTGCAATGTGAATAATATCAGCTGTTATGCTGCAACACGGCGCATCAAAACTAATGTAGATATGAACAGTTTGTTTCAAAAAAGAGATAAACGTCATTTTGTCATCTTTTTGAATCCCACCCTCGCCTGGTTGCCCAAAGTCAGTTTCTATGGCTGTTTAATTAAGAATACACTAACTTAAGAATTTAAGAATTCACTAAATTTATCTTTTTATTTGTGCCTGTATTGGCCACCAAATGTAGCACCTGAAAACACCTCGGCAAAAAAAATTGTGGAAACTCTTAAAACTGTGCGTTATTAAACAGCCTTAGAAACGACAAATGCATTTAATATTTCAAGAGGAACTAGGCTCAGAAAAACATGGCCAGGTTTCAAATTCAGACCCGAATGGCGAGCGTGTCTATTAACTCATTAGCAATTGTGCTACATTGTATTACATTGTGCTTATTCACTGATGAATCCATAGCAATCACAGGGTGCAGGGGCAGTTACGGGCGCTACAAGGAGTAATAGGGTGCGTTCGAGTAGCTCACCTAGATCGACTCGGGGAAAGGCAGACGGGTTAGCCACAACAGCCGGACTAATTGAAAGCTCAACCGCAGGCCATCATGATCCTCACATGACATCCGTAGCCACTGACAAAACGCCTGTTTTAGATTGGGTCTTAAGTTTGAAATTTACTGCTTTTCAGTCATTGACAAAACTCAGAAAAGTTGGGCTGGAATTATAGCCTCAAAAGTCGCAATGAACTCAATAAGTGATTACATTTAGACTTCAAATAAAGTAATTATTAAGTCCACTTGAGATTTCCGCTGTCCGGCTGCCATATTTGTCTGTTTCTAGGAATGAACAATGCATGCGTGTGACGTGTTTCCACCACTGACACCATGAGTAGGGTCTGTGGAGCCCTGAGAATGATGTCAGAGCTAATGGAACGACACAGACTGACCCATGTTGACCCAGATGAGCTAAACGAACACACCCTTAGTCAGGGCAGTTTAGGGTGGCAGATTGACTAATGGGTTCCATTGTATTTCTCTCTCGCTTACTGACTACTTGATATTTTCTACTGCTAGATGTCCAGCCTAAGGACATGAAGGAGGTGGAAGGGGAGGAGTTTCCAACATCTCCCACCTGCCACTCCCCGACTGACACGCCCCCTCATCCCTTGCTCCTCCCCTCCCCTGCCTCCCCTGGCCAACCCACCGGTACGTCACCACATTCTGGGGATGGTATGCCTCCACACTTCTGCCTCTGCTTTTACTTTTCAATCCACTCATGATTTAATTATCATTTCAGTCCATCAGATTTTTATTATTTGTGGCTCATTTTAAACATTTTTTTATACTCATAATAATCTGTGTCAAAACAAAATGGTTGTAAAATATTTTTTGGCTGGCGAGCCTGGAGTAAGCAGCAGCAGCAGCTAGTGCATTTTTTAACTGGCTCACAAGTGCATGACTTTATTACAACTCTTGTTTGCTCCAGTGTTAAATTAACTGGCCCTGTGCAGTTAAAACTGGTGCATGGGTGTTTGTGTGCAGAGCTTTGCAAAAATGTGTTTTAAGCTGATTTGTATTCATGTGTCTAAGTCACAAGCGTAAACGGTGGCGATTTGAGAGATATTACTTAACTGGAGCAATCGTTTGAGTAGTCCTGAATTTATTTGAAATACAAATTTTTTTTTCAACACACGAGGGGCGCCCCGAAGGGGTTAAAAACAGCATATCCCACATTACAGCAGTCAACAATTGTTTTGTTATATCGTGCCAATAAATCAAAAGGATAAATGGTTGTAACTTACTATGCAAGAAATATATTAAATCAGTGCGTTGTAACCCTTGCTAACTGCAGGCTTTCCTGCCAGACGTGTGTCTGAGCGGTTTCAGTTGCGCATTGCATGCAGTTCTCAGTCGCAAGCTCGCGGCAGGTTCTACACGTGCACGCACTTCTGTCGTGCTTTGTATACGAGGTTAACCTGTGTATATGCATTTTCGAAGACTGGACACGTGGCCGTTCTCAACCAATGAAATGCAGTATTCAAGCACACGATATAACAAATATTTTTGGGAACGTTATCTGGTTATCAGACATGCGCAATTTCGGCCGTATGTTGCAAACTTGCTTCAGCCGAGCTAAACCTGTGTTGTGCCGAGTCGGTTGATGTGGACAGCAGTTTCATGAAACAGTCATCTGCAAACTGCCCTGCTTGCGAGTGATTTTTGAACAGCACAAGTTTGAAATCAAGCTGTCATGTCTGTTGGAAAATGCAGAATTATTTTGACACATCATAGCAATACGCATAACCATCAATGATTTTTTTTTCATTCTCAGATCCATATCCATGCAATATCCAACACATTCAGTGTAAACATGTAATATTGTTCTATTAGTATTGTTTTTTGCTTTACTAATTGTTTTAGAGATTATACTTCACAATGAATTTATTAGCACGATGTAAGCTGCATCATCTTCATGCTGTACAATTTCTTTTGCCTATTTGTTTTATTTGTTTACAGCATTCATGCTATAAAGGTGCAGAAAACGAGGATGAGTTGAAAGGGAATGGGATGAGGAAAATTGAAATCTGTTCCCTTGAAATTTTACAGTACATTCTTCAGACAGTTTGTTAACCAGTTCGAGTCAGCGACATGATGACATGCTCTGGCTGTTTTTGTATACAGGCACGGCTGACGGGTTAAAACCGGGTTAAAGATTGCCTCGACTCGCCTCCGGGTGATGTCTGAACATGCTAATCCCTTGTGCCTTTGCCTTTTATACATACAAAGTCTGTGTAGTCTGTGGAGGCGGACCGTGTACTGACCTTTGTGTGGTCCTTTGTGCACGGCCTATTGTACAATTTCTGCTCTTGTGCGCACCCTGGAGAGTTGAAACATATGAGGTTTCAGCAAGCAATATCATACAAATAGTATTGAAATTACTCTTGCGAATCAGTATTTGTGGCGGTTGGCTGTATATCAGAGGTTGGCTGGGAAATGTTTGCCTTTTGAAAAATTTTAAATTTTCAGCAAAAAAATAACCCGGCGCGAAGTGGTTTAAGTGCATCAAATCTATACAGTCAAATCGGACTCGTATGATTTTACAGTATGCTTGCTTATAAAAAAATCCAAATAACCTAGTCTGTTTCTTTTCGCATAATTCCTCAAAATGGGATTCCTTACTAATGTACTGGTACTAATTTTAACTAAAAGTAACTGAAGTTAAACCCTTTAACCTTTTAGTTGGTGCACTGGCGCTTTTTGACTTGAGATATTTTTTTTTCATTTGGGCACATAACAAGCAAGCTTTTGCGTTGCTTGTTTTATGTAATTTGTTTGTTTAGAAGAAATAACCAGTGAATACCTCAAACAAGCACAGAAACTGAGAGGCAAGTATTGCTCAAATCATTGGACCATGCAGTATTTTTGCGTGGATTGTGTTGGCCTGAGGTATGCACTGGCTTGTTCATTCCATGAGTTTGCAAACAGGACCATGCATGAACATGCAAGACTTGCTTTCTGAATGTGTATTGCTATAAAGCACATTTGTTTGAATTTCTTTTTGTTCCGTTGAAGGTTGAATATCTTTTATCGCAGACTTTTGCAAATGCAAAGTTTTGTCATAGTTGTCAAGTTGTAAGGGTCACAACTTAGGATATGAAACTACAAGTACATGTACTTTAGATCTTTTCGAATAGGCATGCAACTGCTCTTCAATTTGGTCTTATTTTTACTTTCCAATGAATTGGACGTTTGGAAACAGAGAAGGAAGTCGTGTGCATCTTGAATTCTCCTCTTTATTTATCTGACTTCCAAATACATGACTTCCATGGCAAATACATGAAGCAGAATTCACTTAAAAACAATCACGCAACAATAGAGACGTCCATGTGCTTGCAAGCATTAGCACGTGTGCTGCATCTAAACTGCTTAACGTCAGCACAAGTTTTCTGCTTATGGTGATCAGCTCAACTTTCCTGCTAACCATTAATGGTGCTGTGAAATTGGCTCCTGTTGATTGTGTAAACAGTTTAACTACACTTTGACCCAAAACATTTTGTGGCCACTGCAATTTATTGGGAGTTTACGAAACCTCGGTTTTGTCTGTGGCTTGGCTTCAGAAGGTTAAAAGCCTCTGACTAATAGACCTTTATCATGCTGCCACCATTTAAGTCATGTTCCCTGTATCCAATAACAGTTGTGAGTGATAATGTGTTTTGTGCAAAAAGGAACCAGACTATTTTTCCTTCCAGCCTTGCTTTGGTCATGCTGATTTGAATGGGAAAAAATCAAGATGGCCGCAACATGATAATGGTCTATGGGATTTCACCTCACTGTGGGTGTACATGTATGTTCTGAAAACAGAAACATGTATGTTCTCAAAACATCTGACATGAGGCCTAACCTTAGAATATATCCAATTGGCTCCCATGAAAATAATCCATATTCTGAGATACAGCCACAGCTGAAAATGACGCCGAGGTTTTGGAAACTCCCATTGTCTGGGAACAGCACTTCTGATTTATTTGAAAACAATTGGATATCTCTCCTCATAGACAACAACACAAGCTGTGATGAGGATTCCCATGCACTGCGTGATTCGCCGCGGGGCTCCCCGCGTGATGGATTACCGCCGTCTGGCCGCTCAGCCAAGAAACGCGCAGCGATGCTGTCCCGCATCAAGAGCCGGTCCCGCGAGATCCTGGACGACATGAAGATGTATGGCTCTACGCCCAACCTGGCCCGGGACTTCTCCTTCACCGAGGAGGACTCGCCCCGCTCAGCCGACGCCGACAGTCCCCGCAGCGACAAAGTAGGTGGTAAAAAATCTGTAAGGTGGCTCCGCAAGTTCTGAAGCGATAAAACTTGGTGTGTCTGTAATGCATGCCTCCCCTCTCCCTCCCCTGTTTTGCTGTGTGCCGTGCTGTATGTGCTTGCATGCCGGTGTTTGTATGTAGGGGCAGCATGTTGTCAATTAATTGGAGTGATGTGAAACTTGGCCCACCCCAGCTTCCTCGTACCCCGCAGTGGCTTGCAAGATATTTCCCTTCTTGAATTAAAAAATGAATCATTATATGCAACATGTCAATTGTGATCACTGTCTTGAATTGGGACTGTTTTCTGTGATGTGCACTTTGCCCATGACTCTCTTGTTACCATGAGTCCTACATTATACCTGTCCGTGTAGCAGCTCCCAACAACCATCAATGCCTTAGTGTGGTTACGGAGAGTGCAGACGCAATTCCGCTGTTGTGTGTGTACAACGGAGGTGGCCCAAGCAATCCCGGTAAGGCGCTAGTGTGCATGCGCGTGTGCATGCCGCCTTGGTGTGGCTGCCTGCTGCATCGCATGAGCAATGGAAACGTGAGATTCTGATGAGATATATGCACTCGTTCCGTGTCATCACACTCTAAATAACTATCAAGAGTTACAATGTTTCAATGGTTTGAGCTGTTTCATACTAGGCAGGAATGCGTACACCAATTTTGCAGTGAGGTTTTGCAAATTTGCAAAAGTTGAACACAGTATTAACTCGGGTGAAGTTTGACATCAGTGCTTTTGATGTCCAGGTTGTTTCACATTTGCGCAAACCCGAAGTATGACAATTTGTAAAATGTTGTGATTGACCCATTTCAAGTAGTCTGCCTGGACAGTTTATGGAAATTCTCATAAAATGCCTTCCAACTTACCAAGTGTCTGATCGTACCACATACCATTTTACACACTCCATTCCACACATGCTCCACTCATTTGTGCAATTCCAAGTTAAAAGACCATAGGCGGACCAAATGAAAAGAACTTTAAATGCCTTTCTAAACATTTAAACTTACCTTCCTTTTTTTAGAGAAATAAGTTGTAAGTAAAAGTTTTGTCAAATTTTCAGGTTACTTGTCTCTTTTTAGAAATTGTCTTTTTAAAAAAAATAGGTTGTTTTGTTCTCATTTTACCTTGTATTGTTGTTTTGCATTGGGAGATGTTTATATTGATGTGTCACAAAAACACTAAAGGATACTACATTGTGATCAGTTTTGCACTTTGTGTTTGGACGGTATTTCTTTATCCTGTAATGTCCTTAAGATCCTGAAATGTCTGTAGAATGTAGATTTTAATGCGTTTGAAATACGATGCATGGATCATTTTTGTCAACAAGTGTGGTCCTGATGAATTTACTGCACTACCTTACTTTTGTAAAAACATGAAGAAGCCTCAACACGCAATCAACACTTGCACCACTTTTCCCACCAGCCCTTTTCGAGAAATGTACATAATTGTAGGTTTTTATCATTTTTTATTAACTTTTTAAAGTATAATTCCATTTTTACAAGAGTAAACTGTAAACATTGTAAATATGTGTACAATTTAAAAAGACACCAAAAATTTTACTACAAGGAATTAATAATTGAAGACACACATGGCATCTGAGTTTGCTGTGTATGTAGAACTGCATGCGAACTGAAAGAAAACCATTATCACATGGCAATCCTTTAAAATTCTTCAAGCGCAGTGTTTAAAACTCAACTCAGGTTTAAGTGTAGTGTTTAATTTTGTTGATCAGATGTCACGATTTATGCACTATTTTTATCGGGACTTCGAACTACAGGGTGAGTAAAAAAAAACGCGAAACCCTAATGTCGGGACTATTGTTTGAAGTTCTGCATGTAGCACTTTCAAAATCTAGGATATGAAAACCCCATTCATAAGCTTTCTTTTAGTACAAGAATCATTCAAATCACTTATGTACTTTTCAAGTTACGGAATTTTAAACACAACAACTGTTTTAAAGTTCTGTCCACGGATCACATAAAGGTGTGCGTTCTTTCAGCAAAACGAAAACAATTCACACACATCCTTATGTGATTTGTTTTCATTTTGCCGAAAGAACACTTACCTTTTTTGTGATCTGTGGACAGAACTTTAAAACGGTGCTTGTGTATAAAAGTCTGTAACTTGAAAAGTACATGATTGATTTGAATGATTCTTGTACTAAAAGAAAGCTCATGAATTGAGCTTTCATATCCTAGATTTTGAAAGTTGCTACATTCAGAACTTCACTAAAACAATGGTCCCAACATTTGGGTTTCGTTTTTCTTTTACTCACCCTGTAGAGGGGTTTTGCAAAGTCAGTTTTTACTTCAGCCAGCATCGTAGTCGAGACCATCAAGGGTCTCAAAAGTCCCCACAAGTCATCCAGTTCCAATGCTAGTTGCAAGCTGTTCAAGTGAACTGTGGCAAAGGCACTCATTTGTTGTGGTTCATCCACTGTTTAGTCTGTTACTTGTGACTGGACTTGTGATTTACTTGTGACCGGACTTGTAGTGGACTTGTGATGGACTCGACTACATCACTGTCTCAGCTTCACTTTTGTCTCAAATCAGTTTTAAAGCTTAAATGTCAAAATCAAATGGACATTCTGTATACTGTGGAATATAGTGGGCCGGAGTCCTGAAGTCAGGCTTAACAATTTGCTCAAGCTTAAACTAGAAAAAAAAGCAAAGCTTTTTGAAAACCCCTCTACTTCCAAGTATAGACTCGCTACCTATGCACAAATCAGCCTTCTTATGGTGACAACTTTTGCAAAAAACATTGTTGGGTAGGGCACTTCACCGCCATATTGTCATACGCTCATGTCCTTGTGTATCTCTGATGTAAATATGTTGCATACGGTACTCGTTCAGAAAACTTGGTTTCACAATGGTTTCACAATGGCTCGGGCTCACATGCACATGTCATGAAAGTACCTTCAGTTGGCTTTTGTAAATTTACAGAGCAGTATATAGAGAGAGTTAATAATATGCCATTATAGGTCCAGCTCAGCTCACGTAGTGTCCGTAACGCTAGGCACATTTGTGCATAATCACCAGTTTCTCCAATTTTGAATCACTAATGCTGACAATGCCATTGAAATAGCCCCAGAATCTCATGACAGAATGTCCTCCCCATTCTTGTACTTATAATGGCGTCCACAATTGGTACCACGCATGTCACAACTCTCTCTATACCAATCCGAGCACGCTAGCAATCCTATCAGGAAGGCCCCCTTCAATGGCGAAAGCATTGTGCTAGCTACTGTTCAGGTAACCCATCACAGGGCACTTGCTTTGTACAATAGCACGCACAATGGTTTATCCATTGAAGGGGGCCTAGTGAGTGTACAGTGATCACGTGCACGGATAGCTCTGTGAAGGTACATGTACCGGTAGGCCTAAAAGCGTCCGCAATTCATGAGCAAATGCTTATCATGCAAACTCACAGCACTTTTTAGGCATGGAGTGAGTTGCAACATTGTATAGATAAACATGTACTGTACTATACATTTTTGCAAAATCCTATATATGTTTCCCCATAGTTTCCTGTGATGCATTTACATGTACACGTTTCCTTGATAGCAGTAGCTGCATGTAGTTGCTCTTTGCACCCATGTTGTTTGGAATAGCAATAAATCCTTGTCTAGATGCACTGTCATGTGTTCAGCTATATCTTTGTGCACCATGTGTTGTTTGTGTGTATGTGTTGGCTTGCATTGCACTATGTGTGTCTTTTTCTGCTTGTGACAAGAATCAGTTCTGTATCGCTCTCTAGCTCTGAAAACCAGAAGAAAAAACATGAACCCCAAAAGACATACATGATCTCCCAAAAGTTATAACTTATATTAATTTTTTTTGTGCACAGTAGATTATTCTGTTCATAATTTATTTAGATGTAAGCACATTCTGAAAATCACATCTTTTCAAGATTCTCTCTACCTTTATTATTTTGTAATTGAGGAGTTTGCTTCAGTTTCTGCAGAGCCGTTATGTAATGTTCAGTTGAGGGAACATAATTCTTTTGGTTAAACAACAAGGGATTTTCAGTATTGGTTCAGCAGTTATGTTTTCTAGGTGTCGCACCACAGAGTTAGTTTCCCCCCCCCCCCCCCCCGGGGACTACAGTGGAAATTTCTTAATATAAAAACCCTGAATGTGAAGAATGGTTCCAAAAGCTAGAATTCCATAAACGATCAAATAAGGAACACAAAATTTCATCTAATAACCTGCCAATGTATGTACCAAAAACTAAAATGTACAAACTCACTTTTAGATTTGATTAATGGGAGTTGAGATATTCAACTACCAAATATTTACAAAGCACTTTAGAAAGTAGTTATGCGCCAAGGGCGGATCCAGGGGGGGGGGCCAAAGGGGGCCATGGCCCCCCCCCCCCCCCCCCCCCCCAAAACGAAACCAATTTTTTTTTTTTTAATGTGACATCGCAATAAAGGCAGGCAATGAGTACACCACCATCTTTTCCTCAAAAAAAATTGGTTAAAGTGGTCAGAAATTGCCTCAGATCGCACCACAGAGCATCTAGAATCCAAAAATTTTTCGGGGCCCTACCGGGCCCCGAACCCCACGCCGTAATTTTTTAGACCCACTTTATGTTCTGGATCCGCCCTTGTTATGCGCACGGTGAACGTGTGCCTTTTGAAGTTTAGAAGAGTTTGTCCATTTTCATTGTAGATACTTTAGTCCATTTATGTCATATAATCAGTCACTCTTGTAAAGTTTGATTTCTCTTTTCTCTTTCTGCTTGTTAATTGCTGCATGTCTGCTACTCATTGCAACTACTAATCTAGCTTTAACAAGGGTTCCCACTGAAGTGGGATGTTTGTTTTCTTAAAAGAACTTGGAATTTAGTCCAAAGTTTCAACCTCATCAGTCCAGTGGTTTTGGAGGATAAAAGCTATGTCACAAACAGGCTTCCATGAATATGTCTATTACCAGCTTTTCCTAATGTAGTTGTAATTGTTTCAAAAGACTTAGCCATTAGCTCTAGACAAGAGATTTTGATTCACTCATCCTTCGAGTAATTTAAAACGGCAAAAGTTTGGTTGGTTGTGGTTCTAGAAGTAGGAACTCCCCTCTTCTTAATGCATTTACTCAGTAATAACTGTCATCAGCATCAATTCATTCATCTCAATCCCATCCAACTCTTTGTTCATGTTGTAGCATGCAAATCATAAAAAGTCTCCCATGTGTACATTGTAAGTTACACTTGACACGCTTTGAGCTGTCACTGCCTCTTGCATTCAGGGTTCAATCAGAGAATTCTGGCCAAAACAATTTGCTCGTGCAGATGTGAGAAGGCTTGAGCCATGCTTTCTGATTGGTCCAAAAGTTTGTGAAGTTCGTGCGCAATTTTAAAGGTAGAGTCGATCATTTGCAGCTATCCATAGAGTACCTGACAAAATTATTGTTGAAAAGCTTGGTTTAAAGATAGTAATGGCACTAAACTCCCTGTGAAATTATTCTTTCTGGAATGCTGCCATTTTGAAGAAAGCAACAAAAGAAGACAATTTCCAAAGTTGAGTCAAGTGACACATTTTTGGACATTTCCATTAGTAGTTGGTTTGTAATTCAGCGAATCAGTGAATGGGTGCACACGAGCTTTGACACGACGTGCAAGTGGTTGCTATTATTCGTCCGTGAATTGCGTGGCACAATTCTACATGACTCGGCAACTTTTGAATTGAAACGGAGATCCTAGAATATTGTTTTCTTGGAGTACACAGCATTCACAGAGCTAAAACTTCGTCAAGTTAGTTGTTAAGCACCCGTCTTGTTTGTCACCATTTGTCCTATCAGCCAGTGGAGATGATACGCAAAGAAAAAAAATTCTCTCATATTCCAGTTAAGTGATTGTTAATATGCACTTACCATTGGGTATTTGGACCAATAAGAGAGTAGATGTGATTTGCCGGTTTAAGTTGTGGCAACCACTCCCTCTAAAAAATTGTCAGATGAACATAAGAAAAGAGCTCCCGTTGAATGGCTCAGCTTGGGCTTAAGGACAGTTGGATAAGAAACTCAACATAGGAAAAGTAGCACTGTTAAGTACAATGTTGATGGTTGTTTGCTTTGACTGCTGCGAAGTTGTTTCTTATATTATAATTGGATTTGTCCAATATACAAGTTTCTGTGGTTGCCCATTTAAGTTGTGTTTTGTCTCTAATTAATGATTATTGTGTAGCAATCAAGTCATCACTTAGGGTAGTGACATGTAGACATTTCAGTGGTTCAGTGCTGTAAGGTCCCAACTCGAAAATTTGGGTGAGAAGGCAGACATCAAAATGCATTCCCTTTAGTCACCGTAGCACCCCAAACTGCCATGCCTATTACTCACTGTTGCGCCCGAAACCACCCAAGCACTCTATGGTTTTATTGATTTTTTAGTGAATAAATACAATGTAATACATTGAAGTCAAGGTGCTTTTGGGTTAAAGGTTTCTTTCATTTTTTTCATACAAGTTTTCTTACTTTTCTTTTCTCAAGAAGCAAAATAAGCAATACAAAATACAATGGTCTGAAAATCATTTTATCTTGGTTTTTATGGAAGCCCACAATTTTTGTTCATAGTTCAAGACTGTTTGAAAGAAGGCACTTTAGTATTAAAGAACCTTACAGCACTGTACCAAAGAATACTTGTATGGCTTTGGAACTTTTTCTTACTTGGTGTTTTGTGTGCATGACCTCCTGTGGGTTCTGTGCTGTTTGCATGCCGACTGTTTGCAGTGCAAGTGCTTTTAAGAAGGAACAAATCCCGGAAATAGCACGCCAAAAAAGACCCCATCCAAGCCAGCCATTGTACATTTTCTCTATCCACAGTACAACAGGACTGCCAACGGTGAGGAGAGTTCCAGGCTACCGTTGCCCGATGCTGAACCTTCGTCTCCACATGACAAGATGGAAACTGAAGATGTCATCACTCCGATGCGACAAACTGGCGAATTGCAAGCTACCCCGCCCCAAGCCTCAGAAAGAAGGCGCGGTATGACAGCAGAACGCAACCGGCATCACCGATACAGCATGCCGGATGCCCCCAAGCTTGTAGCTTTGGCTCAAGAGTTTAGCCATTCCCCACCCGCTCCGCTTTCAACAAGTGCCAATAGCAAAGGAGCTCCCCTCGCATCACCTGTGTATTCAGCCAGACCCTACCCAGGCAGAACCGAAGCCGTGGTTGAGTCCTCACCGATACCCCCACCTAGGAGTGCTAGTGCTCACAAAATTCACAAGCCTAAGGCGCAGTACCCTTCTGAGGGTTCCCCTGCTGCTTCAAGAGAGGCATCCCAGAAGGAGCACACTCCTGAACACCACCGAGCAGGCAAAACCAGCACCCCAGAGACAAGGTACCGATCCAGCAGCTCCCGCTCCCCAGAAGCCAAAACGAACAAACCCCCGATGGCCGTGGTCTCACCCAATGCCAACAGTAATTCTAATAACGCCCCCCTGGGCTGGGCCGTGCCATCCTTTGACGAGGGGGAGACCAGAGATCGGTCGGTGTCGGAGCCATCCAAAATGAAATCCAAGACTGGGACGCCGACAAAGACTGAGCAGAGTCCAGCACCAGAGGAGGATCAAAATGGAGAGAACAAAAGTGGAAAGAAAAAATCCTCCGTGTGGTACGAGTATGGCTGTGTCTAGCAAATATGAATGTATATAAATGTGGTCTTCTGAAGAAAAAAAACATACATCTCATGCAATATATTGTCAAGAAATATTTGTGTGATTGTTGTCTGTTGATTGAACAAGTTTGTGTGGCATTTTTAGAGTATTATTGTCCTCACTAGCCATCTGGTATTACATTAGCTTAAAAACCTCAATGACATTGTCATGTTTACAATAAATAATTGTGCTTGATGTTCAAGAAATGTTCTGTACAATGTAATGTATGTCACAGTCTTACTGAAGAGTTCTGAAATTGCACATTTGCATTTTCTTTTCAAACTGGAGTGATAACTGATAATTAAAGCACTTGTACAGTCAAGTACTTTGGCTTATATGGTTTGAATGTGGTTTGCAGAGTCAGTATTTCTGTATACATTGCTACACTGTACTATCTTGTAAAATTGGAATGTTGTCATAAAAAGAAGGATAACTTTGCGAGTGGGCTGCCATACGTTCCAATGCAGTACATGTATTGACAAAAATGTGAATGATGTAGATTACATGTATGTCAAAGAACAACAACCTGTTAGTGGGTGGGAAAAGGCGAATAAAGTCATCGTACAAGCTATTTATTTCAATTGGTGGATCCTAACCGTGTTCATATTGGTTCTTTGTGAGCATGCGTAAATTGTAAGCATTTTACATCAGTGTGTTTCGTTGAACTGTTCAGCAGAAAATAACCCTCGGGAAATTTTTTGTACTAAACAGGTACAGTATCTGCTGAAAACCAGATACAAAAGCGGCATATATTGCAAAACATTTCCGTTGGTCGCCTTTTTTGGCTAAGCAAATATTTTCAGCGCTTAATGAATTTGCACTTAATATAGCTTCATGAAAGTAGCCTCTTTTCTACCGCAGAATCCATGATACCCAGAGATGCTTTTTGGAATTTAATTCCTTGTGACCTTGTGAAGTAAATATCTGGTGGCCTTAGTCTGAATGTTCCATAAACGCATTTATATCTCAAATCCTGTCGTGGTCGATTTGTAACATTTGTAACAACCAAAGTGTTTTTAATATGCAAAAGTCAGAAATTCGGTGTTAACAAATTGTGTCTTATTACTCATGGGTGCTTTAGTGCATGAACAGTATCGTATTGATTGGCAGCTTGACAAATGTAAAAAAAAAAAAAATGAAATGCTCAACCTTTTAATAAGATTTATCAAGTCATCAATTCGTGGAATAGTCAGTTTGTATTCGTGGTTGTGTAGAGTTGTGGCATTTTTGAATTTTAAGCAGTTTGCTTAGAGGCACAACACAACTTTTCCTCTAATGAACCATTGCTTAAAAGTTTCAAAGCTTTTGAGTCTCTTTGTACATAATATTGTGGTGCATTTCAGAAACTCAAACTCACACACGAAGAATCAAATGAACGTGCCCCCTAATTGGTCTTTATAAAATGGGAATTCTTTAAGTTTATAAACGTGAATGTATTTATTTCAAATCTTTTAAGGGAAGAGGATTATCACAAGTCCTGTTGGTCAGTTCACTGTAATACACGTTAATTTTTACTTTGAAGTTTTGCAATTAATATTAATAAATAACCTTATTTTGTACAGAAATAGAATGAACATGCAGAAATCACTTTGACGGTTAGGACATTATATGTATTTGCATCAGATATTAAAAGTTTTAAAAGTTCAGAGCTTCACAATGTTGTAACTGTCTTTCCATAAGCAGCATATGTATTTGGGGTAAAATTTTTATCTAGAAAAACACAGTCATATCAATCCGTCTTAAAACCATTGGACATTAATTTCTACCAGATTTTGTTGTAAGCCAAAGTTGTGATTATACTTCCAGACAATTGAAGCCTTCTCAAACTGTTGGTGGCAGTTTCTAACTGAGAGTTTACATGTATCCGCTCCGTTCACAAGTACACCCTCACCGGCAAAATAAGTACAGTTGGGGGTGACCGACCGACGCCATCTTGCCTGACTGCAATTTTGCCGCGACGCGCGGCCACCACTAGCACTGCGTGTACATAGTACAACTGAATCCCCTGGTGTACGTGCGACACACACAAGGAACGGTGCGCGTCAACCAGCGAAATGTCCCACCCATGGGATGTTGTTGCTAGGTAAAAGGGCGCCCTCTATCATTGGCGCCCAGAGCCCATATATTGTATTCATTCAATTCAGAATGGTTATTTTTTGAAGTCTTTTTCATGCATGTGGTGTACGTTGGCATTACTGGGATAATTCTATTTCAAATTTTGGGACAATATGAGACTTAAGACACTATCACACAACAGATAGCACTATTCAAGCATTGCCTGTAGGGGAGAGTATTACTAACACTATAATCGGCTGTGAGAGGATGGCACTTTGGTCTATTTAAGATCAAATAATCGCAAAATGTCGGGGGGGGGGGCAAACTGCTTCCCCCCTGGCCCACAGTGGATATGTCACTGTAGTCCAGTCCCAACTGCAGGATAACAAGTGCCTGATTCATAAGAACTTTCTGGAGCCCCATTGCTACAGGGGTAGTGAGCAGTGATACGGCAGTATATATATGCTGCATTCCACATACAGGGCATATAGTGCTTCACATTTATCATGTAGAATGAAGGGTGCCTCACTGTCTCATGAATAAAGGATGCCTTAAAACAAAAATAAAAGTGCTACCACCAATAGTTAGAAAAGCCTTCAATTGTAGTTGTCTTCCTGAAACTACCCAATGTTTCGCGTGGGAATTTGTGTGCAAAATGAGCCAAAGGATACTTATGTATATCTGCTTTTGAATGCCAGTCTATTTTAGGAAATTCTAGTCGCAATATACTATTTTTTTGCATGTCACAATCTTTCAAATCAACTTTCCAATATCAGCACGGTCATATTGTGTTTTTTTTAAAGTATGGTAATAAAAATAAAGTTCATTGTGGGTCATTTTTGTATTGCTACCATACATGTATAACATTGGATTTTAAGGCAATTAACACAACATTCATCTGTACTAAAATAGGTGAAGGGTAAATTGATCCATTGGAAAAATTAATCCATTTATTAAAAACATGATACAATGTGTGAAGTCCAAATCAAAACAGACTGAGAAAAATGTACTAAAGGGCTCTGTTACAACTGATAATGTAGTAACCAACGGATAACGTATCACCAACCGATAATGTCACACAGATTGACAGATATTGTATCACTATGAAAGTTACTACACTATCAGTCAATTTTGTTACATTATCGGTCAATTTGTGTGACATTATCAATTGGTTACTACATAATCAGTTGTAAAAGGCTGCTGGGATCCACTGGAATCACTTTCAAAGTGTAGAATGGTCGTTAAACTCCAATGAAGACTGGAAGACTATTTGTTAGAGTAATTTGCTTGTTCTGGAAATATAAATTTGAATATGTCAGTATTGTATTTGTGACCACCACAAGTTCGCACAAGTCCTCACATGTCAATCGTAAATCAATCTCAAATCATCAAGTCACATTAAGTAACAAGCTACATGCAATCAAATGAACTGTGATAAGGCCACAAAAAAAAGTCTCCGGTTTCTGGTATGCACGCGCGTCGCCGTAGCCATGCGCGTCGGCAAAATGAAAAAGTAATTTTTCAATGATAGATGATGTCTCAAAACCGCCAAACTCACTGATTTGACTGAAATTCTGCTGCTGCACGATTTTAACATGTTTTTAGATGGGGTGACGATCGAGAATAAGCTTTATGTGGCCTCTCTGGACTCCCATATAATTGCGCTAAAGTTTAGTCGGGCACCATTTGCAGTCATCAGCCGACATTTGAAGCAAAAAAATCGGGTAAAAAAAAAAAAAAGCCGTGTCGCCGCACCACTATTTGGGCAAGCTCCATACCAGAAACCGGAGACATATTTTTTTTGGCCTAAAGGCATAATCATCCCCTGTGACTTGTGTATTGTCTTGTGATTAATTTGTGACCGGACTTGTGATGGGCACGACTACCAACTGGAATACGTGTACTTGTCAGGCTCAAATAGTGTTGCCTAAACCAATATTATTGGTCGTTTTTTTGGTTATCGTGGTTCCATTTCGTGCATTCAAAAGAGAAAATTCAGTTGTGGGAATTTTGAGATTTTTACCCACAGAAGGGATGTTATAAAACAAAATGGGAAATTATAAGTGGAAACATGCATTGTGAGCCTTGGTATTACTTGGCTCAATATTGGTCATGACCCCCATTGGTTTGTACACAGTGTGCCAGGAGGTGAGAAGAAAATTTTGACTGATTGTGACCTCTTAAATAGTAGGAGGGTTAGCCCTCGTTATTTTTTAAAAGACAACCATGGAGCATGTCTGAAAACCAGACGGAACACATTTTTGTCATATCTTAATCTTCTGTGTTCTACAAGAAGCAAAAAGGGTTTGGGGTGGTTCAACAGTCATCTTTTAAAAAAAAATGTTTTTAACATTTGCATTGTTTAACATTTCCAAACACTTTTTGTTTCTCTAACCAAACTCAGCAAACTTTAAACTCTGAATTACCCAAAACCTCTGATAACATTTCAAAATCTTTTTGCTGTCTCATCAACCAATCATATCACTGTATGCCAAAAAAAGTTGTTGTTTTTTCTTGCAGCCTTTTCTTCTTTTTCTTCACATTTTTGTGTTTGTTTAGTTTTTTACTTTGTATTAAGATTTTCTGTTCAACATTGTACATGTTTTAAGAGCTGGTTGATTTTTTCACCCCTTAAGCTTGAAACTAATCGCTTTTCAAAGCACACACAAAATAATAGTATATCTTGTGCAGCGAGAGGGAAATGTAGCCGTTTCTCATTTTTGCCACGGGCTATGGATAGTCATACTGGTGCACAATGTAACAGTAGACAAAGTCATCGCAGCAAATGCTTGATTTTAACACACATGGCCATCATGTTCCAAAACATGTGCCAAAACATCATGTGCCTTCCATCCACACTTGCACCGTTGTGTCCATGGGTTGGCTGCAAATTTTTGAATTTCTACCCGGATAAGAACCTCAAACCCTTGGTACCGACCAGGGTTGGATTTTACCAATGTAGAGAGAGCCAGACGCATGTAGAAGCCATGTTTGAGTCTTGCTAGTATGAAAGAGGTTCCTGAAGTCTCTGTGTTGGACCGGGTCCAACACAGGAGATTTTGGACAGTGTGAAAGGCCATTGTTTGTGCATAGTTGTAGCTTGCTTTCATTTGTGCATCTTGATTCCTGCTGTCTGCATCGAGTCACAAATGTATAAATCAGTAGGAATACCATTTTGTTGATTAGAATGCGGGTTACCAGACCATACACAGTATGGTAGTATTTACAAAGCAACCAGTAAAACCATTTGTGAGAAACACAAAAACACACACACACACACAGATTGTTCATTCTCATGGAGGACTGCCTTCATATTTGTCAACTCAAATCCAAGTTTAAGACCACTATAATCTGGGAAAAATTGGCCTTTTTTTTGTAACTTTGTGTCTCCGAGTTCAGGGAAGGATTAAAAAAAAGCCTGAAAGTCATTCTCTGGATATTGATCTGTTAATGCCATGTACTTTCCAGATGATTGGTCATTAGAAACTCAATGCTCTCCTATGAAAAACAGATCCAGGGAAAATGTATATGATCAAAACGTCTGCAGTTTTTGCCATTTTATCAGTCTAGACTTTGTTTTAAGGAATATTTGTGTAAAGGTTATCAGTTAATTTGATAAAGATGACGAAATATACAATGTACATGTATGTCTGTGTGATACACCCACCATATCCTAATCTGGGTCCTGTTGGACTTTGACAGACTCCAGCAAAGGACTTTTGTTTAATACCTCCATGTTAATGAGACAATGGCATGTTTTCAAGTGTTGTTATTGTCAAAGTTCTATTCCATAAATTGTTTGCATTGTGGTCATTAAACGCAAACTGTCAAATCGAGTCTCCGGTGCCATACCAAGTTGTATATGTAATATATATAGGTAATGACTGTTGCATTCAAATTGTGTAACTTTTTAACTGACGGAATCCATTCCAGCTTGTGATTAGAGTATGCTGAACATTTTGTACAAAAGTTATACGTTTTTTGAGTTATGAATTTTGTTCTTGTAGAGTATGCGTGCATTATTGTAAGATTTTATTGAGAAATTAAGAACAAAACCATTGACTGGAATGCCCAAATTAAAAATCAGGAATAATTTGAAACTCTACTTGTTAATGTTTCTTTTGTTTTTAAAGGCAGTATACAACATTTGCAAACATACAACAACAAAACTACCAAATTATTATCCAATACCTTACTTGACTGTTAGTGCATAATAGTCTCAAACATCCTGTGAAATCAGGACGCCCATGAGTGTTCCACATATTGTCTACGCACTACAGATTTGGGACAAACATTTCACAAAGGAGCAGTTTGGAAAATTGCAAGTAAATTTCAACTCATTGAATCTGAAATAGAAGTACATTTGTACATGTACATGTACATTAGTATTTCATTTTGGTGTAAACAATAAGATATCTCTAAATACGCTAAATCTGTGGCAGAGGCATTACAAAACAAATATCGATATCAATTGGTGTAGTTAAACTAGTGTCCATGGGGGATCCATGGATCTTTCTTTTTTTCCCCACAGCCACACCTTTGGAAAACCGAAACGCTCTACGGATCATCTCCGGAGGCTAGATGTGCCGGTACTACATCACTCGAAGTAGTCAATATTTGTATAAAATTCTCAGGAACTGGTGTTTGTCATGCGATATAGTTTTTATTAATTCCACTCATTTGCCCGGATTGTTTTTAAAAGAATTGTTTATAAATGTGACTCATAAAATTTAACAGCAATGAAATAACTTATCAGTCAAATGCCATTTGTCAAACCTGATTTAAACAAGGCATAATATTCAATTCAAAATTTGATTAAAAAAGATTAGCACTTTATATCCAACTTCATTATGTTTTAGTTTCAGTTTGATCATTGTGTATCTAAACGTTGATATGTTTATGTTTCAATCAGATCTGATCTCCTATGAACATGATTAATAAACTAAAGGATTTAGTAAGCAATTGAAGGATTTAAAATACTTAGTCCTGCACCAATTTCATAATAATTTTAAATCCCTTAACCCTAACCGCCCCCAATGCTACAAAATACCACTGAGTAGTAACCTGTAGTATGAATTTCTTTCCATACAAGTGTGCACAGCACATTTAGTATTCTGTGGTATTTGGTACTTGACCCCCAAACAGCCCTTTGGGGGTTAGGGTTAAAGAAGCATGTAAATACAATGAACATGTATAATTATAATGATCTCTTTTGCATATTAATTATCTTTTCCTTGAATGACTTTTCACTGTTTTCTTAGACTGGCATTTTAGTGTGACGCCGAACCAAATATATTGATGAACAATATGGGTCAACCCCAATCCATTTTAATTTTATACAGGTGAACTTCATATAATTATTAATTTCAGATTGAGTTGACTCTGGAGCCATTCTTAACCAGTTCGCGCGGGAGGCCGTGTATAAAGTGTGCCGTCATTTAGAACCAGAAAGTGCAAACGAATGGAGTACACGCGCGTGTTGGTTCACGGGCTGAATCACGCGCTAATGTCTTTCACACACATTTTGTGTGCGTGACGTATTCACTTCGGTACTCCGTTTGGAACGGATGACAGATAAACATGCAGGGAGCAAGGCCGGAAATATCTGTCGGCGACCCGCTCGTAGCGAGCGAGGCCGGAAATGTGAGTGATCACTGATGGCTTCAACCCGCCTGGTTTAAGGTCGCGTGAAAAGTAATCCTGCCCCTCGTTCCGTTCGTGTCAAAATAATCCAGGCATTATCTGGTTAATAACTGCAGCATTCACATTTGTACATACATGTAGTTGTTCCTATTTCAAATGTCAAACTTTTCATTTACTGAAATCTTCAGAATGAATTTGTTCAGCACGACTCTCCAATGCAAGTCTGATAGTAGTAGTTGACACTTCAACATCAACATCCGGCCTTCTACTCTTCAATGACGCTCAAGAGTTGCTTAATCTTCTTTGCATAGGCATCCTCAAAAGACAAGCCATCGCCATGTGGCTCGTCCTTTCCAGTCATGTTGAAGAACTTGTGACTGAGCAGGGTGTGAAACAACTGTCTCTCCTACAAATTAACCAAAAATAATTACAAGTGAACGTTTAAGTACAGCTGCAAATACACACAAAAATGGTACTTCACTGTGTGTTTCTGAGTTACATGCCATGGAACAACCGGTATTATAGTTCAGGTACTTGATCACAAGTACATCACAAGACCAATTTTCAAGTCAATCACAAGTCAATTCACCAGTCCAGTCACATCTTATCTTGGATGAGCAATAACAAAGGAATGCCTTTGCGCCAGTCTATTGGAATAACTTGGGATGACTTGTGATGACTTATGATCTATCACAGGTACCTCAACTTCAACACTGAGAACAACCTGTGCATCATACTGTTAAAAACCCTTCAAGCAAGACACCACAGTTTTAAAGTATCGCATTTAATGAGAGATGAGAAGAATGAAGACCAAGGACAACAGTTGATAACAAGTACAAATGCCTGCCTGTACTCCAAGTAGAAAAGAAACCAATCTTGTTTTCGAGACCAGTCTGTTTCAAAAATAACTGAAAGTTTAGGACCGAGGTAGAAAGCAACACCTACCCTATCAACATCAGGGAGTGCACTTCTGAAACGTTGCCGATCCTCGTCAGTGGGCGGAAACCCAACTGCCCTTCTCCTGTACCTCTCATGGATAGGGCAAGTACTGACCAGGTACAGGCCCACAGCCACAGCAAAGCCACCCCAGTTGGACACCCCAGCAGTTATGAGGAAGTCGGAGGCCTTGGAGCATGCGGTTGTGGGACCTTGCGAGATGTCGCAATGGGCAGTATCTCTGCCAAGCTTGTTATTGCCATCTTGAATACCTACAGATGACCAAAAAAAGACGAGACAAGCCTGATCCCAGAGCAATTTTTGTTATTCAATTTATAATTAATGGCTATTCACTGGATGGCTTTTCATGCATCTGGTGTACACGCCGGGCTGGATTCAGCCCATTATGGGGAAATCCTATTCAATAGCACTGCCCGGCTCTCCTCACCAGCCAACAACACAAGTGACAGACAGTTACTCGGGGAGACAGGCAGTCAGGCAGTCACTTGGTGAGTCAGTCAGGTACAAAGAGGACTATAATGTGGCCTTTTGGGGACCAGCAAATAGATGTCTACTTGACAAATCAAGGGAAGCGCAAACAAGCACATACTTGAAGTGTGAACTGTAAGCATATCAGCTGTTGCAAGGAACAGCCAACCAATGCCACGACATCCTACATCAGTGGCCTCTGCCTTCCCTGCCCTTTCAACAGCAAGGAGGTGGTCGTAGCGTGGAGCAGCGGTGCCAGGCCCCAGTAGGAACTTCTTGGCCGTCTCCAAAATGTCCTGTTCCCCCTCTGGTGGGTACAGAACCACGGATACAGGCTTTGCCAAAACCTCTGTCAGGAGAAAAAATAATCCAGTCGAATGGGCTTTCTGCTGGTATTCAATTTCAGCAAGGTCTCGCATGGACATTCTGACACGATCTTTCTTTCACCCCCAGTTTCATGCTCGAAACCATCCCTAACTTAGAAACTGTACCCCGCCTGAAATTAATGATGAGCATGGCCCATCTTCAGTGTGTGTAATAAACACCAAATGTACTGCCAGGGCAATGAACAGTGCACCAATCAACTATCCCACTGTCTACCTTTCTCTACCAATGTTCACAGTACCTTACTCATATGTGGTTCATACTTCTTTACCAAACCAAGCAGAAACCACAACATGGAAAAGCTTTAACCTTCCAGAGCCTTAAAAAAAAGTCCTGGAGGTTTTGGAAGGTTTTTGCAGGATTGAGGAAGGAAGAGCCAAGCAAGCAAGTTGAAAGTTCACAGAACGTACCATTGGTTTCCTACCCTGTTTTAGAGTATACAAATCAACAAGGTTTGAGGGGAAGTAGTGCACAAGTACTTGTCCCAAGCGAAACGGATGGAGTATATAATGTGAACCTACTTTGTTCCACTAATGCTTCCAGTACGGTGGTCAGCGGTCCATACAGCGTCTTATCCACCACCAGGTCAACCTTCTTGCCCAGTGCTTGTAGCATCTTTGCTGTGGCGATGGCACCAGGCAACCCATAATCCTCATACGGGTTCTTCTTATTTTGAAGGCAAGGGAAGCCAGTTGACACCGCAACCGATGAGGCATGTGACAGGGCCAGGACTGACTTCAGGAGATCGTCAGGGACGACAACATTTTCAAGTTGCCTGTTGCCTGCAAAAGCAAATTTATACAAAACTGAAATTTGTTTCAACAGGCCCTAAATATCCTGTTTTTGATGGAAATAAAAATCCAAAAATACAGTGAACAGCAAACCAATTTGAATCCATTTTGACAAGAACGAGTGGGCTTAGCTTCCAATTGTTAAAAAAAATACTCTCCCCAGATCCTTACCAATGAAGCCTTCTAGCTGCTTGATTTTTTCCTCGATAGCCTCAGATGTTACACTGGCCCAATAGGGCTTTTCACAGAGGGTGACCAATTTGATGTCGGCCAGGGGGCCATCTTGGCTCTTGGTGGGTGTGTCCGAGATGTACACGCCATCCTTCTCATAATGCGTGAAAGCAAGGGATGGCTCTGCAACCAAATAGAAACGACAAGACGGTCATTTTTCCAAACAGTTTTTACTCCTTTCATATCCTTTAAGCCCTGCCCTACAGTTCCACACTTTAGTGGACATTTCCAGCACGTCTTTTAGTCCCCAAACTAAGACACCTAGCAACCAAAGCCCAAATAATCAGACCATTCTTGGCTAAAAATTTGAAATGAAGAAGAATGACGTTACATTATAGATACACTTATGAAAGATAGGTTCACTTACTGACAGCTTTCATGGCTTCTATGACAGTAGTTCCGCAGGCCCAAAAGACAGGGACGTCGTCTTCATGGAATTTCATAGGACCACAATATTCTGGCTTGTCCACGTCAGTTATCCCAATCAGAGCTGTTTGTTGATGATCAGAGGTTTAAGCTTTCACATGCAAGGGGGTTCAGGGAGTTTGTTTGACCCACCCCTCCCCCATGTTCAGGGCACATAATTAGCATATACATGTGTAATGAGCAGCATGATGTCCAGTATGATGTCCAGTATGATATCTAGCTCCCGTCCTCCATCCCTGCCCTTCATAATAATTACCCTAGGTAGTACATGCATACCCTAGGTAGTACATGCATACATGTGTAATGAAGAGCGACCCCTTTTTGCATGATGTGCATACTCCTTCCCTTTCCCCCAACCCAACCCCACTCCTTCAAAATGGGCCAGCCGATCAACAGTTGACTGGGAAACTATCAACCTCTTTATTTTCAGGACCAGGGACAATTTCATTTTCCCCCTGACTTTGAATGAATTCTTGACAATTTAATTCACTTAAACAGGGGGGAGGGGAATGGCTGACAGAGTTTCAGTTCAGCTAGTCCCACCATACTCCACTAAACCACCCTTCTCTGCAAGAGTAGGACATTTTAAACAAATAGGTACTTTTATTCATCCTTGTTTTAGAAAAGTACTTATACAGATTAATATTGGGTTTTGCCCTTCACCGACGTATAAACACTATATACTCGGTGTGTTACCTCCCGAGTGAAAGTTGGGAAAAAATCACTCAGGTGGGACTCGAACCCACGACCTCCTGCTTTCTAGTGCAGACGTCTTTACCACTTGACTACCGAGCTTTAACGGGTATACAGGTTATAGGTTGTTACCACAATCTTTAACCTCCTCCCATCCCCCAACCCCTATATACCCACCAGGATCACCAATGTGCACAGGGGCACCATGGTAATCATTCAAAGGCTGGGTCACTTTGAATGTTGTCTCCACCAGAACACGTGGGATTGGTCTCATAGACGCGACCAACTGGCATTGGAATGGCCCTACTGGATGACACTCCACACTAGTCTGCAAGAGAGACAAGGTAAAAATTTGAAGAAAGAAAAAAAAAACAGGAATGCACATGCAAAATAGGATACACTCCGACTTTTCCATTTCCTTTACATTTCTGTCAGCATTTAAAATGCATCATTGGATGTACACTTAATGATTTATTAACAATGTCCAAAAATCACATCATGCTCACTCTAAACAAAATTGGTTGAGATCTCATTACTGTGCACTTTTCGGCACATGCTTACTTAATAAGCACTTGCCAAAAGCTGCAAATCAGTGGGGTTTTGTCGTAATTCAAAAAGAAGTTAGCCCTATAGTTTTGTAGATTTCAATCAGATCTTAAGCCCACTTCTGATGGGCTTCCTTACCTTGAATTGACTCACAGCACATTGTTGCTCTTGGTTTCTGAGCGGCACTCCTGCAGCCAGCAAACGTGAATCAAAAGAAAAACTGCAACCTATGTAGAAGAAAACAGTGTCCTTGAGAGCCTCACGAAATTCCAAGAGATTCTCAACTGTGTTTGTGACCACTCCACCCTTCATTATGTTGTAGGCTGGCAGGTCTGTCCTGTGTTCCAGATAATGAAAATCATTAATAGATACAATCGTATATGGATCGTTTTCCTTACATTAACCAGAACAACAAAAAGGCCCCGCATGACTCGTCCTTCTAAAATGGCATTAGACTAGAAAGGTAAGTAGGACCCGAAGATTCCATTAACAAATTTCATAGAGTACACATCCAATAGTTAATGTTACTGTTTTTGATCGTAAGGGTTTTTCCAATCTGCTAATTTGAACTTCACCTGATGTCAGAATCAGTTTGAGTGATCCCTGGAGCTGTGAACTGGCCCACATCTGACTTGAACAAAAGAGGGAGGGGCCCTGAATTGGCGGAGCAGAACTTGGCAAAGTCCTCAGCCAGGGTCTTGTCCAGCCCCAACAAATTGGTTTGCACATGACCTGGTTTTAAAGAAAGTGCAAATAAGTCATGTTAATGGTTGTTGTTATTGTTGTAAAAATCTCCAACTGATGTTCTTGCAAAAAAAAACTGCCCTAGGATGCCTCGAAGATTTCAATTATTTTAAACTTTTTCCAGCATATCCGGCAGATTGGAACAATGAAGTGTCCCTTGAAACATTAGATGCTGTAGATGCTTCATTAGATGCTTCACCGTTTGAAGACTCTGAAGTAAGTTGATAGAGCTCTCCAAGACCTAATCGAAGTGTGTACACCTCAACGCTCTTGCCCCTCCATGTCCCCTGTGCAGCCAGCGGGTCAAAAAGTGGCTTAAGATACTAGGTTTTGCCCGACAAAGGCGAATCCAGGAATTTTGAACAAACCTTTCCCCCGACGTATTTACGTATAACGGATTACTGAACTTTTTTTTCACGGAAATTGCCAGCAACTTCAAGGCCTACTACAAGTGGTGACTACAAACAAGAGAAGCAGGTCAAAGAGAGGGGAGGAATATCTCCATGCTTGAACTAGGACAAGTTATAACCTACCCATGCATCTTTCGCATAATCAAGGGAAATATAAAACTGAAAAGGGATATAAGGAAATGGACATATTTTAACTCCCTTTAATTTCTGTTCTGTCTCTTTGTTATAATAATTCCTCACTGAGTTTCTGCTTTGCGCATGCTGTTCATAGTGTCCAATCTGTGCTGACTAAATCTGGGAATTGTTTTTCATCATTGTTACATGTTTGCCACCATTAATCTGAAATCGTAAATTTAATACTTTCTTCAGGAATTTATTTGGTTTCATCACTACAAGTCATAAACCACTGACAAGGCTTCATCAAGACTTCAAACAAATTTGTCATAATTCATGTAATTCAAACCGCTTCAGCGAGCTTTAACTGAACGAGTCATTTACTGAAAACCATTAAAAGAATTTGATTTGCGACTACATGTATATTAGAATTTTTTACACGTACTATATTATTTCTTGACGGTGTGCACTAATTTACATTCCAAAGCCTTCTTCAATTTCTTTTCTTTTTCCATGGCCCGCCCCCCCCCCCCCCCATGCATGGCTACGCCAGAGTTGCGTGAATGAACTCGGGCTAATGGTGATGGCACAAGCAAACCTATCTCCATGTACATATAGGGATGACCCAGTAGGAACACTTGACATCTGTTATAGTCAAATCGCTGATAGTATCTGTGAGGACAGGGGAAAAATAATGTGGCAGCCATGCAGCCACAGTACAAGCACTTTCGTGCTACTATATGCACGCCTATTCCCACATCAACCTTTTCTCGATGATGCATCACGTCTAAGGCTGGTTGTGTGGCAACTTACATCATCCGTGTGGGAAAAAAACTTATAATAACGTCACAGGATTGCAGCTTATCGCTGTCAACATCATCATGACCATTGACGGTCCCGTCGTGAACAACACTGGCTTTAGCGACGAGCAGCGCATGAAGCTCCTTAAACCAGGCGATGTATAGGACGCTGAAGAAACAGCGGATTGCAGCTAGCAAAATATGCTCCCGTACCACGAGCTCCCAGGCGTTGCCTATACCAACAAAATTCCAGCAGATCTTGCTTAAGAACATCCTGGCAGTGGAGTCTTGGGTGACCACGGGGATGAGGAGAGTGAACAAACTTCCAATAAATAAAATTCTTCTGGCAGTCTACCAGAACATGACTGGCCAACAAAGATGGCGAGCTGAGAGGATGATAAGTGGTGCCAGTGATCTCAAAGATGGAAGTGTTCGAGTCTCTGTGGCATACAAGCAATGGAAACAAAAGTGTTCAAGCGACTTTCCCGATTAAATGTAGGTTGGCAGTATGCTCAGTATGTCGATCGTCTCCAAATTGCTCTCTACACAGGAGCAAAGACAACCAATGGTAGACCTACCCATAGCTTTGCTTTTGCGCAGGTCAGGCTTGACATGTAGGAAGCTGGTTTTCGTGAATGGAGACCTGAGGTAAAACAACTTGTCCATGCTCCCAGCCGTCCCAAGGTGATCCTGGGTACAGCAGCAGCACCTTTTACACGAGGCTGATTGCCGTGTCAAGCTCGAAGCAAGCATGCAGTTCCAAGGGAGTTGCAAATATCTTTGTGTTCAGCTGTGGAGTGGGCGACAATGGCAGCACCGTCAGCATACAAGAGCTCCCGGATTAGGGTTGAGCAGAATATACCACGATGAGTACTATTAAGTATATAGGTCTCAGCAGATATCGAACAGGATGTAGGAAAGCACAAAAACATCTGACGAACTGCCAAGTTCTCATACTTTGAGCTATTGGATTGAACTTGGACAGCATGTTGTCATGGAAAGCCATCAGTATGGACAATAGGGTAATTGGACTTTCGTCACGTCAATATTGTCAATGGTCATCGCTGTTCAGTGCACTTTTCTGGTGCACATGAGCAGACCTTCCCTGTACAACAGCAAAATGCCCCCTGTGGTTGTTGCAATATTGACGGCTGCCATTTTTGGTAGCTTTTTTTTGGCAAGACACACTGGAAAACAGTGTGGAGCTCAGTAGCCAAGATATGACCATCCTTCTTCAGCATCCCTTAAGGGATATCATTAATGCCTGCAGGAACACTGTTGTCTTTTATACCATTGATGACGCACTTCACTTCAACTAATATAGGGCTGTCCAGCTCACTCAGGGTGCGGGGAAGCAATAAGGTAGGCCTAGGTAGTTCACTGGGGTTCATAAAGAAACTATTATATGCGCTACCCACCAATTAAGCTTAATTGCGGATAGGTCTGTGGGGATATCTCCATTTCTGGCAACATCAGGCCAGATTTCTTGTTGGCTTGACCAATGGCTTCCATATTATACAGACCATGGAGCTCACACCGCACTGGATACGGGTCTGGGGTTACTGAGGCGAGACCGTGTAACTTTGTAAGGTAATACACTTAAAACATAGAACAGTGTTCTTGGCAACAATTACAGTTTTGGTGCAAGTATGTTGAGCAAGACTTGTGTGGCTCTGGTCAATGTTTACCCTTTAGGGCTACGACACGTGTGACGGCACTGTCACGAAAACAGTGAGACTGTTTCCATGATCCATTACCAAAGGCAGACTTGGCACTAGTAAAGACCACTGAGAAAAAACTGGAACAGGCACTTTCGGGGCCGACAGAAACGGTTGCTGAGCTGAAATGGCTCTCCCAAACTGCCTCGGGCGGGACTGTAGGGCAGCTAGTGGTGACAGGGTAACCTCATCACGAAATACAAGGTTGTTCATGCTTGGGGAAGCCCTGCTGGTAATTTCCTCCCAGATAACCCTAGCTGTTCCTTTTCTCTCTGGCACAAGGACAATGTGGAGTCCCTCGTTTCGGTTTTAAAAGAGGTTTATACCTAACACCTCTTTCAAAACTAAATACAATCCTTTTACCGTGCCAAGATGTTGTTTCGGGCACTCACAACATTTGAAGAGGCATTTTGAGACAAGTTTATCTATTTGTTAACCAAAGCGTGCTCAATAATGGGCCTGTGATCAGGCACAGCTGCACTGGTAACATATCATAAACCAAGAATAGGAGTAATTTTCTATGGCATCAAACTCGTGGGTTTAAACCCATGGTTAAACCTGGTGTGGATTCCACTGCCACAGACTCACAGTGACAGATTGATTCGTGACATGCCCTCCTCTTACTAATGAGGTTACCAATGGTCAAAATTTTCTTCCTCACCTCCTGGCCTATTGTGTACAAACCAATGGGGGTCTTGACCAATATTGACCCAAGTAATAACCAGGCTGACAATGCATGTTTCCATAGGAGGGAGCTCTGACCACGAGGCGATAGTGCTTATCAAAGCGACTGGTTTCATTGGCCTAACTTTGCCGCATAATGCTACATGAGGGGTCATCCCGGCCGGGTTTTTAATAGGATCTAATGATAGATGACCTCGGTCTTTGTCACCACGGACTATGTGTAAATGGTCCGCGTATCCACCATACAAACCTATAGTCTCATGTGACCTCTGCCATGTTAACTACGTGTTGGGACAATAGTTAACATAGACATGTGAGTATTCTGGATTCCAGGCTGAATCGTAGGAAGGTTCTGAGGAAATGAAGCAGTCAATGTAACTTTACTGTTTTTATCCCAAGCAGTATTGGGGGGGGGGGGTTGGGGGGGGGGCTCCTGCAAGACTTAGTGAGAGCAGTTTATTTGTTGATATATAATGTCACGAGTCTCTTAGTGCAAGTTCAAAAGATAATCAGTGGAGTTAATTGAGAGAGGGTGTTAAATGCAACATAACTTTTTGCCAAGAAGAAATACTGATAATATTTATCATTGGTCTGCCCCGAACTAGCACCGACAGTCTGAACTCATTCTGAACTCTTCAACTGGCCTAAAATTCGTGTATTTGACATGACAAGTGTCAATAAAGTTTTGATTTAATAAATGCAGACTGATTTACTTATTCATTTTGCTAAAATGAAATGGTCAAACAATTGGTGTCATAAATGTCTGGGTCACACGAAGTTCACAAAATCATGTCTTACCGGCTTCAAGTTATGGGGGAAATGTTGAAAACTGGCCTGTTTAGGTAACATCCAATTTAATTATGAAAGCTTTATTCTGCCTTGATGCCTATCCACCAGCAGCATTTATACATGTACATGCAGCAATCTCATTATTGAGCCAATGCTATACCTACATCAGACTATAGGGCCTACTAGTACTACCCACCTTCGCATATTCCCGAGGTACTCTCCTTGAAGTAAGCTCCAGATCGGAAGAGTTTCCGGGCCACTTTGGGCTCCGCCTGAACAAGTTCTGTTCTGCTAGGAACCGACATCGTGGACGCAGTATTCAACTGAACCTGGAGTACTAGGCCTAGTACGTACAGATAGCGCGGAGGTGTACATGTATATTGAGGGCAAACAACCGTGACTCCGTAAAGTAGCCGGCTACGAGGTGCATAGATCGAGTGGCGGGGTATTCTGCAGTTGTGCATAATGTACATGTACATTAAGTGGTCATAGTATTATTTGCACTGAAGAGATAAATGCAGTTGATCATATTGTAACGTCTCTCTTGGGTGGGAGACATTATCAATAAAAAGAGTCAGATAAGATACTGTAGGGAAAATTATATGAAATCCTCTGATAACCAGGAAACTATAAAGCGGCTAATTAATTATCTCCACAAGAAAAATCAAAAGGATCCCTACATTTTACTTGCACTAACCGTGTGTTAACCTTGACCAAGGCGTTGGGCTTATCGATTCGCCGATAAAAAAAAATCGCCGATAAGAAAATCCCTAATCAACTTGGCAAGGCATAATTGCGTGCACATATCGATGCCCGTACGCTGCTAGTGAGAAAGTAACTTGTACCATACAGCAAGGCTATGCTTGTACATGTACATGTACGTACGCACGTACATCACACACGTACTCGTACAACAGCCATGCACACACAGTATACGTACATGCGCATGTACATGTACGTGTACGTGTACATGTACATGTACATACACACGTACATACACATGTACATGTACATGTACACGTACACGTACACCCACACGTACACGTACACGTACACGTACACGTACACGTACACGTACACGTACACGTACACGTACACGTACATGTACATGCATGAGCTAGTCCGGTTCGACAGGCCACGCGGCGCGTATATCCCCCACACGTACGTACGTACACCCACACGCAGAACATAGTAGGCCTACATTTACTGCCTTATTACACCATGCGTACAGTCCACACTCAAGTGTTTGTGCTTGCTGGTTGTATTAGTACCAAACCGTTCGTACGGACAAGGGTCGGTGGTACGGTACACGCACGGACAAGGGTCGGTGGTACACGCACGTGGCCGCGTTGATTGTGGGTGCAGGGCCCGATTATCTCCCTTCGACAAAAAGCCGAGAAACCGCATTGAACAAGGCTAACCGTGTGTGAGAAATTAAATGATCAGACACAAATTAAATGCTTCGATGGAAATTTATTTTTGGTAAATTATTTATCGTCTGTTGCAGTGATAAAATAAAAGAAACTCTCCTCGTTAATACAAAACAAAACGAAGGAAATTGAATCACAATATTAATTATTTAGGGGCCATTCAGAATTTTCAATGTTTTAAAATTTCGATCTTTTTTCCAAATTGTGGGTGGGTGGGTCAAGCTACATAATTGAAAATCGAAATTCACTTTCCATGGGAAAAAGATTAAAAAAAAAACAAAGAAAGATAGATCTTTTGACTTGCCTGAACTACGCGCAAGCGTTCCAATATCGCGATGCGTGTTTCTTTTCCAACTTCGTCCCCTGTATGTACTGTCAGTGGCGTAGCCAGGAATTTTTCAGTGGGGGGGGCGCTGGGGGGGCTGGAACATTTGTGGGGGAGGCGACTGGGGGGAGGGGGGGCGACAAGGTTTCATGGGGGGGGCTGTCGCCCCCCACGCCCCCCCCCCCCCGTGTCTACGCCACTGCAGGTCATACAGTTAAAGTTTATGTAAACTTGTATGAAAAGTCAAAGAAAAGTAATTCCCATGATCTATTTGACACCAAGTTTGTATTAACTTGCCGGTAACGCCCTAACAAATTATCCAGACAAATATGTTTATTTTGTAACATTTGATGTTCGTCTGTCGGTCTTCTATGCTGTTATGTTTACTTTTAGGTACCTTCAATGGTACTATGTTTAATTAACCTGTTCATTTGTTTAATTAAACTAATAACGCACATATAGTTGCCAAATATGGTACTAACAAGTTTGAGGTCGGCAATTTCATCTTTAAAAATCTGGATACGTCGGGTTACTGTACACACAATTGTCCTGGAAACAACAGTACCAAAGTACAGAAAGTCGTACGCAAGAGCTCCCCAGCAAGTATCGCTGACGCCATTATGATTCCAAAATTTCTCACTGTGTCACACAGTGAAATAACTAAACAGCGTCGTTGTATTGTGAACACATAAAAGCATTCAAGTCGCGTTCTTGCACACTTTCTGCAAGTCGACATAGATATCCTTGAACCACTGCCCCTGCTTTGCATAACAAGTGCACGTGAATGAACGATTCGACTTTTATTCAAAGAAATATCTATGTACAGTCACCAGACTCTATTCAGTAAAGTCCCCGTCAAAACGAAAGTAAACAATCCACGTGCATAACGCACGGCTACACCATCGTACAGTGTGGCAGGGACACCAACAAGTAACACAACTAAAAAAAAATTTAAAAATTGATAAATATTCTGATTGAATTTCGTTAAAAGATACTTGTTGGTGAGGTATCACATATTCTAGCAAATTGATAAAAATGTACAATATTACAATATGCAATTTTGAGGGAAATGGGCAAAATACTGCATAAATAATTTCACTTGATCATATTCATAATACACAAACCGACAATTTTCATTTTCAGACCCACAACGAGAAATATTGTTCACACTGGGCTTATTGTGAGGAGTTGTGCTGGGAATCCACCAATACATAAATTCCCATAGGCACCAAAGATAAATACCCCAATTTAAACAAATCGGGGAACATACTCTGAACCCTCACAGGTGAGTAAAACATACATCAAATGAAAGCTGAATTAATCCTCTTTACCTTTTTGGGAATTTTTTTTTTGGGGGGGGGGGGTTGACCTATGACTTTTAGGTGATCTTTCCCTCCAACGATGATCACCCCATCGCCATTTTGAGAAAAAAAAACAAAAAAAACAAACAGATTCCTTCCACTCCATATCAATATAGATTCCATTCAAATGTTTTGTTCAGAAATCCAAATTCAGGAACATGGACCCTTCACTTCTACAAATACAGACCCTCAAGTGCAGGGGCCAAAATTCTTTATTATTACAGATAAACTAGTATACAAATCGTAATTTGGCCGGATTAGGTCGCGCCTATTTGGGCTGCCTCTCATATGTACTGCGATCGGGAAATCTCCAGCGTAATAAAGACTTGAAGAAACTTTATTTGATTTATTTGATTCAATTATTTTATTTTAAATCTTAAAACATAAAATAAAAGCTAAAAGTTGGACAGGCTGCCACGGATATGTAAAAGTAAAAAAAAAACAATTGTCATCAGACATTTATCCAAACCCCTGCCAAGAAAACAGATTTAAAATTCTGTTTGTACTATTGAAAAGTAAATTGTACAAATCATACGAGACGAGACATGACGAGACATGACGAGACGAGACAAGACGGGGAGATGAGACAAGACTCAGCAAAAAAATCATAGAGTGAAACATTGGACAAGCCAGACAGATACAAAAATATAAAAACGAACTAATAAATAAATACTCTTACAACCCAACAAACAAACAAACAAACAAAACAAACAACCAGACTCAATAACGGGAATGAATGACAAACGGGCTAAAAAGATTATTACAAACAAAACAAAACAAAACCGAGAAACAAAAGCAATCCCATTCCCCAGAGAGAAAAAAGCAAACCATAAAAACAAACAACCTAGTTGACATACATACGTCTACACTCACATTAAATACACACACTAAAGAAACAACAAGAAACTAACCGGGAACAAAATGAAATAAGACACAATTTTACATTGACGATAAAATAAATATGACTGCAATAATTCCTCCCTCAGTTTTAAAAGAAAAGATTCACAACCTTCCATAGTTAAAACTTTTTCTAATTTTAACACGGTGACTTCGGAGAACATCAATGAGGCAACTATAAGTGAACAGTTCTCTTCTCTTGTAATCCATGTGTCTATCAGTTCTAAGTTTCAAGTGGTGAAACGTTAAAGGCTGTGCGACGGAACTGCCCTGCAATTCATTCCTGAAATTATTGTTGCATTCCCTATTAGTTCATTAACTTTATATTAGAATCAACATTATTATCTATGATAACGAATTTGGCGGGAAACAGAGCTTTCACTCAGTGACTTTACTAGTTTATTTAACTTCGTGGGGATTCCTCCAACTTCAGGCTTTTCCTTGGTTTCAACACCCGTGTCGGATTCTCACAACATTAACTGGGGGAACCAAGTATGCCAAAGATTCTAGCTGAACCGAGTGGGCACGGTACGAGCTTTCGCTTCGCAGAGACGGCCGGACTGAAGCGGGAGCGGACCGCTACAGTGACGGGGAAGCAACAGCTGGACGGGGCCAGCGAGTGTACCGGATCACACTATAGTTCGAGCCATGGTGTGCATGGTCAACCGGGGCCAGTGGCGTAAACAGGAATTTTTCAGGGGGGGGGGGGGCGCTGGGGGGCCTGGAACATTTCATGGGGAGGCGTCATGTAGATCAATGATAATTTTTTAAGAAACTAAATATCTCAGTGGGGGGGGGGGGCGACTGGGGGGGGGCGACAAGGTTTCATGGGGGGGCCGGGGGGGGGGCTATCGCCCCCCCCCCCCCCTCCCACGCCCCCCGTGGCTACGCCACTGTGTACTGTACATGTACGTCATGTATCGCTATAAAAACTGGACTATTCAACCACTGGACTCCAAGACTACGAGGACCGCAGCCTGTGATGTAATGTCTGCCCAAACCTGATGTTTTCCGAATGAATAATTTGGAAAAAAAGTCGAAATTTTCAAACATTGAAAATTCTGAATGGCCCCTTACAATAAAATGAACAGAAAAAAAATGCAGTTGACCTCCCCAGGGATGAAAAGCGATCGTGGGGAAATGCAGGCCCTAAAATCAGTCCAGTTTGTAAGTGTTCCGGTCGGTGGGCGAGTACGGACAACGGATTAGTCCTACCTCAACAATTAGCCGTCAGGCGAACGTCGCGGTCCGAGGTAAGTCGACGTGCGCGTGGAAGAGCTGTTCAGCCGATGCGAAACCGTGATCGCTGAGCTTGGAGATCGGACGGGGAAAACCGTTCTTGACTGCTGCAAAATCTGCGGAAATTGGCCCGGTACTGGATCAGAATGGAGATCAGGATACTG